CCCCAGGAAGATCGGCCGATCCTTCCAGAAGCCTGCGTCTTGGCGTTTTTTCTTCCGCCGGGGTAAGGGTTGAGTGGACAACAACATCCAAGATGCGTCCAAAAAAACTTGAGACCTATGAAATGCCGGATTTGGGGGATGAATCGGATGAAGTCCCATACCCTCTGGTAATTTAAAGTGAGTTTTCCATGTTTTCCCATTAATAGCATGGTGATCTTCCATAGTTCAACGTAAACGTTTACCAGGCCGGGTAACTAGCAGCTGCTGTGAACATGGGATTCATGATGCTTGGAGTGACCGGTGGTGGGCATATCCCAAGGCCGGGTATGAATCAGTCAAGAGACAAGCCGTTCCTTGGGTTCCATGTTGATGAAATGGTATAAATGGTACCCTCTGGTTATTTAACGTAGCTATTGAAAATGGCCATTTATAGTGGATTTTCCAATTAGAAATGGTGATTTTCCATAGCTATGTTAGTTTACCAGAGGGTACAATTTTTGATGAAGCATGATGAATCCAACTGAGTGAAATGGTTTGATGGGACAGCTTTTGTTCCGACCGTTCCGACCGTTCCGACCGTTCCGACCGTTCCGACCGTTCCGACCGTTCCGACGTTCGATTTGATGATTAGGGAAGGGATCAGCAATCAACATTCTCCACTTCCCCAAAGATAGTAGGCCTGTCTTGTGTGTGTGTGTTCTTTTCTGCTGTGCATATCCCATGACGGATCCATGGTGCTGCTATATATGGTAACATGGATCCCATCAATATACCCCAGTCATGTTAGCATATATACCAGCACCATGGATCCGTCATGGGTATGTGTATCAAGAAAGGACCTTAATTAACCAACTTAGTCTATGTTCTTTGGCTCCAGCCTGTTTTTGTAAAGCCCTTTCACCCCAACCGCCCCTTTTAAAGACATCAGAGACATCCATCCGTTGAAATCCGACTGTCAAGGTATCCCAGTCATCATCTCAACTGCAGCTGCAGAAGACCTACTTCGCATTTCTGGCCACTGCATGGCAGGGGGGTTCTGGGAGGGTTCTGGGGCAGTGTCCAAGAATGTGGCCCCTCAAATTTCTCATTTCTGCTAGGGTCAAGGTGCATGGGATTAATATGGATTCATGGTTTATGGTCTTCCCACTATTCGGAATTCCTTTTACTTAGTAGTTGGTATATATATCATATATTATATATTATAGCCATGATTAACCTAAAAAACACGTAATCTACTGTATGTTAAAACCATTAACACACATACCATGTTCACCATGTCATTAACCAGAGAAAACATGGTTGATTGGATGATAACGTTTAAAAAAATCATCTATGAACTTGGATGAAGTTGTTTAAAAGCACTGCGATATTACTCGAATGACTGTTAGGACTGAGGTACCTATCTCAAAACATATAGCTGGAACAAAATTCATGTCCAGATAAGATTTTACCATTAACATGATTTTCCCAAGAGTTACATGTAAATTATGTTAAGTTATATCCCATTTTATATGTTCGATAAATTAATCGATAAAGTATTAAAGTATCCATCATTTTATATCCCCATCAAACGGTTGGGCTGAAAAACATCGGGATTTTGTTCATTGAATTTCAGTGAAATCATTGATGGATTGACGGATACACCGCAGCCAAACAACGGTATAGATAGAATTTAGATAAATATATGTAGCCTTCCCAGTTCATGTTTAGTTTTTATTTTTTTAAGGTGAATATGGTGGTTTTAGATTAATCCACCTTATTTTTTTCATGGTCCCTTAACAAAAAGTGGTGTTTTCCTTCGGACCTTCGCCTCCAAGGTGATTTTTGTGCTTTTGGTGACCTCCTTTGCGCAGGCGTCCGTGGCCGTGGTGTTCCCCCAACGTTGGGTGGTGAAGGTGAAGCGGGTTGAGTCTTAATTGGCTTAGGCTTGAGTCTTTTCGAAGTTGATGGTAAAAGTCGATAAACTTCTAAGTTGATGGTAAAAGCAAAATTAAAAATCAAATCTGTTGAACTGTTGAAGTCCCCTCCTTTTCATGGATTTGTTGATGGGAAAAAGTCAAGAAAACATATTGTTTCCATGGTAAATTGTCCCTTTGATCAATTCCATGGCGTTGACTCTGGGAATGATTATTTCATGACTCTTCAGGCATATTCAGGCATCTTGTTCTTCTTGCATGTCTTCAAGGCCGTTTTACTCATGATATTTAAGTGGACGCACTGACCTCGACAGAGGTTAAATTCATGTTCGAAGAGCTTAGGTATATCCGGTATATCTAAGATATGCGTTAGATTCCAACTGCTCAGGTAGCTCAGGCCTTCAAATGGCGATAAATGGAGTAATGGAAAGCACAACAGCCGACCACAACTATTGGTACACTGTTTTGTGGTACCAAAAATTGAAGCCCAAGAGGTAGCGCATCGAAGGAGAGATCCAGTTGTCATCCAGTTGGAGCCAGAAGTTCCTGAGAAGCTGCTGAAAGCGCTTCTTACATCCATTTTTGTGTTGCTTACTAGTAAATTACTGAGCCATAATTCCCAGAATTGGCAAGAAGTTCCAGGGTTTACCCCATGGGTTTCACATGGGAATTCATAGATTTGTTCATCCACTTCCGCTCCGCGCCCCGCAGGGCTTAATCACCACGTTGCTGTACGTGGCGCAGCAGCCGGCCGCCATCGTTCCGCTCTTGGCGATGCTATGCGAAGAAAAGCGCAGGGGGTGTGATGGTTGCATCCACCAAAAAAAAGACATAGCCAAACATGGTATTTGGAGGACCATCCCACTTAGTATCTCATGAGAAGAATTGGGTTTATGTTGAGCCATTTATTTTGTTGGACCTCAGAAATCGGGTGCTAACCAGGAAGTAGTTTCCAGGAATACATGGATTGTGTGCTCTACATTGATATCTATCCCACTGTGAAGCAATGGTCCAAAGTAATTAGCTATAGATTGTTTGTACCACTAGAAATTCATACCGAGACGGATCCTCAGAGAGTTTTTTTCGAACTAGGGAGGAAGGACAACTGATGAAATACAGTTATAGATCATGGCCTTTTTTCAAGGAATTTCCTTACCCTCTGGTAAACTAACATAACTATGGAAAATCACCATTCTTAATGGGTAAATCCACTATTTTCATAGCCATTTTCAACAGCTATTTTGACATAACCAGAGGGTAATTGACATGAAAATCTCCACTGGCGAAGATCAATTCCATCAGGAAATCCCCAGCACCCCAGCACTGGTTGGAGGTTTCAAGGGGGTGAATCTCGATAGCATTCAGATACTGAGACCGGCTTCAAATAGTCAGAGTCGGCTGAGTCAACGTTTCTATGGCTTAATAAGGTTTAAGTGGGATTTAATGAGGTTTAATTGGGATTTAATGGGATTTGATGAGGTTTAAGTGGGATTTAATGAGGTTTAATTGGGATTTAATGGGATTTGATGAGGTTTAAGTGGGATTTAATGAGGTTTAATTGGGATTTAATGGGATTTGATGAGGTTTAAGTGGGATTTAATGAGGTTTAATTGAGATTTAATGGGAATTGATGAGGTTTAATCGTGATTTAATGAGGCTTAATTGGGATTTAATGGGAATTGATGAGGTTTAATTGGGATTTAATGAGGTTTAATTGGGATTTAATGGGATTTGATGAGGTTTAAGTGGGATTTAATGAGGTTTAATTGGGATTTAATGGGATTTGATGAGGTTTAAGTGGGGTTTAATGAGGTTTAATTGGGATTGAATGGGATTTGATGAAGTTTAAGTGGGATTTAATGAGGTTTAATTGGGATTTAATGGGATTTGATGAGGTTTAAGTGGGATTTAATGAGGTTTAATTGGGATTTAATGGGAATTGATGAGGTTTAATTGGGATTTAATGAGGCTTAATTGGGATTTAATGGGAATTGATGAGGTTTAATTGGGATTTAATGAGGTTTAATTGGGATTTAATGGGATTTGATGAGGTTTAAGTGGGATTTAATGAGGTTTAATTGGGATTTAATGGGATTTGATGAGGTTTAAGTGGGGTTTAATGAGGTTTAATTGGGATTGAATGGGATTTGATGAAGTTTAAGTGGGATTTAATGAGGTTTAATTGGGATTTAATGGGATTTGATGAGGTTTAAGTGGGATTTAATGAGGTTTAATTGGGATTTAATGGGAATTGATGAGGTTTAATTGGGATTTAATGAGGCTTAATTGGGATTTAATGGGATTTGATGAGGTTTAAGTGGGATTTAATGAGGTTTAATTGGGATTTAATGGGATTTGATGAGGTTTAAGTGGGATTTAATGAGGTTTAATTGGGATTTAATGGGATTTGATGAGGTTTAAGTGGGATTTAATGAGGTTTAATTGGGATTTAATGGGAATTGATGAGGTTTAATTGGGATTTAATGAGGCTTAATTGGGATTTAATGGGATTTGATGAGGTTTAAGTGGGATTTAATGAGGTTTAATTGGGATTTAATGGGATTTGATGAGGTTTAAGTGGGATTTAATGAGGTTTAATTGGGATTTAATGGGATTTGATGAGGTTTAAGTGGGATTTAATGAGGTTTAATTGGGATTTAATGGGATTTAATTTGGATTTAATGGGATTTTTTTGGATTTAGTGGGATTTCTTGGAATTTAATTGGGATTTAAGTGGGATTTAATGGGATTTAATGGGATTTAGTGGGATTTAATGGGATTTCTTGGGATTTAATTGGGATTTCATTGGGATTGAATAGGATTTAAGTGGCATTTAATGGGTTTTAATGGGATTATAATCCACTTAATGGAATATACCCTCTGATTATGTCAACAGTTTGCGAACTTGAAAATGGCCCAGTCGAAATAGTGGTTTTACCCATTGATAGCATGGCAGGGTGATTTTCCATAGTTGAACGTTAGTCTGCAAAGTCCATCGGCATCTCTCCAGAGCCCGGCTTGGTCGTGAGTTGCTTCGAGAATCTCACTCATGCAGGCCATTGTGCTATTTTGCGCGGCGTGATCATGGAGCTGGGGCCTTTGCAGCATTCAATGGCCAGACATGGAATGCGCCGTGGGAAGATTGTGGATGGCAGCGGCAACGCGCTGCCGTTAGTACTTCATGGGCAGGCGGCTCAGGACGACGATATTGCAGAGCATGCCGAGGTGAATGCTGGCTTGCTTGGAGGGTCTCCTTTCCCTGCTTGATATTGTGGCATAGCCAGTCGCTGGAAGGTTTGGAATCAAGCGACCCAGCTGAGGAGCCTGAAGGACGTTGGTGGTGCTACTCGGAGTGCTATGTGATGCGCATGGGGGCGGTGCCAGATCGGAGAATCGCCAAGATCGTGCATGTGGGCCGCAATTGGACAGGAGATTAGCAGTGTGCAGAATGGAGGAAGTAGTCCGATGGCGGAGTGATATGTGAGTGATGTTGCCTGAGATTGCAATTCTTCGGGACCAGTCTCCTCTACAACGGCGTTTTTCATTCTCCATACCTCCAAACTGGCAGAGCTGGGGCAGTCAAACGCTGGGATCCCTACAGCAAGACATAGCAAAGCCGATCCTTGCGGGACCAGTGTTCGCCCCAGCAGACACGAGCAATGCGTGGACATCTTGTTGCTGAGGGCTGTATCTGGGTTAGCTATGGGGAATGGCTCGCGGGGGATTTAGAAGTACCCCAAGATATTCTGAGCCTCTGGTTATTCAACATAGCGAACTGAAACATCACCATTTTTGATAGGTGAATCATCATAAATCATATTAAATCATCTATTAACATGGGCTATTTCTGTGGAAAATCACCATGTTTAATCCATAACTCATCAAACATCACTTGTAATTAAACAGGCTGTTTTCCTTAGCGTCGTGGCATGTTGTCGCCGTCCCCCGAGGAAGTCGCTACCCTTGACCTCCAGATTCTATGTGATGCTTGACCTTTTCGGTGGCGATGTGGCAAGGGATGGCCGTAAGATGGCGATCAAGTGACTCAAGTGGCCAGTGACCACAGGACCTAGTTTCAGGTTGTTGATTCAATGGGGGTTAATGGGATTTAGTGGGATTTTATGGGGTTTAATTGGGGTTTAATGGGATTATCATAAATGGAATATAGGTTGCACATGTTGATTATAATCCCATTAATGTTATAGGTCCTATGGGGTATATATATATATTATGGCTTTTAATGGGACCCACTTAATGGAATATAGCCTCTGGTAAGCGTTTACACAGCTATTGAATGGAAGTTACCCGGCCTGGTAAACATACCAAAAAACGATGGAACATCACCATGTTTAATGGGTAAATCAACTATTTCTATGGCCATGTTCCATAGCTATTTTGACATAACCAGAGGGTACCCATTTTTCCCGCATCCAACTAGCTCGATATCTCCGAAATCCAAGCTGAATTCATGCAATTAAAAACTTGCAACCAACTTACCAATCTGTGGGGGGGCCTCCTGCTTGATTGCAGACGATTTATGAATGTGAATTACCAAGCAGGTACCAAGCGAGATGTTCTTGCAGGTGGTCTAGCAAGATGTGCATTGCTTTCTATAGATGCTGGAGTTGGTTTCAAATCCCCGTAGACGTTTCATTCATGCAATCTTTACATGTCTTTCCATGTCTTATACCGGGCCATTTGGGGTAAAAACGGTGAGCATTTCGCAGATTTTAAGCAGCACCACAGAGGTTTGGGCCTTTCGATACTGAGGGGCTGCGGGGCTTTCTGAACGTCCATTTATCCATTTACAATGCTACAATGTGGGGCCCCCGTTCGATAGCTAAGTTGCTGAACATAACTACAATAACTACAATTTCACTAGGCTTCATGGTAGTTGTAACTATAGTTAGATGATAGCGTAGAAGGGGTCCCCACATTGTATTTTGCTTTAATGTCAAGGCTCTGGGTGGGTGATCCATAGCCTTTCCAGACGAACCCAGGAACTATGTGGTGTTGGGGTTCCTCGGCTGCACCGTGGGTGACCAGTTTGTTTTTCTGTGTAAAATAGTGGCCTGGTTTGTAGAATGATGGAGAATGTGCTCCAAAAATGGCGGGAATCTTGTTTTGAACATTGCAAGAGTGTTTTGAAGTCTTGGTGCATGTCCATCTCGTGTTTCAGGCCAATCATTGAATCAAAATGTACAAGAAGCAATGAGCATTGCGTGTTTGCTGTGCGTACGTCAGTAAATTACGGCTATTACACAGGTACTAGTATGTTTCAAAATTGAATATAATCTTTTGTAAACGCTCAAAGATGATCAGTCGTGATCAGTGTTTTAAGCTAATACAGTAATGTTCTATGATTAGTACTATGAACTTTTTAGAACATTACTGATTTTTTAGTTTTTTTTGATTACCGCAATATCATTTAATATCTATGACTATCTATGTAATATTACGGTGAGCAGTTTTAAAGTACCCTCTGGTAAACTAACATAACTATGGAAAATCACCATTCTTAATGGGTAAATCCACTATTTCTATGACCATTTTCAATAGCTATTTTGACATAACCAGAGGGTAATTTTACAGTCCTGATTTTTCAATATATAATTTTCGTGGATCTTGCCAAGACAGGGTTGGAAGACGATCTTCCAAATATTGGTGCCCCGCAGGCTCTATGTTAATTTGGGGGCAACCACCATTTGCTTCCATATGTTCAAGGTGTTGGAAGAATAAAATGGTGGCTTTTCATGTGGTTTCATCATGTCTTATCTCAAATGGATATCATGATCTTATCCATTCGAAACATGTGTTTACCAGAGGGTATATTCCATTAAGTGCATTAAAACCCATTAAAACCCATAGAAAATCCCAATTAAACCTCATTAAATCCCATTAAACCACCATTTCCTATGGTTTTTCTATGGTTTTCCCATTTTCCTATGATCAAAGCTATGGAAAAAACGCTTGGAATTTCCAGGTGGCTCTCCTGCAGTTGCGAACTGCTCCGTCCTGGGCCACTGGCGCCTTGGACGTCAGCTCCGATGACCAACAAAAGCCGTGGGAAGACTAGGCAATCACGGTTTAATGACGGTTTAATTGGGATTTAGTGGGATTTCTTGGGATTTAATGGGATTTAATGGGATTTAATGAGGTTTAATTGGGATTTAATGGGATTTCTTGGGATTTAATGGGATTTAATGAGGTTTAATTGGGATTTAATGGGATTTAATGGGATTCAATGGGATTATAATCCACTTAATGGAATATACTCTCTGGTAATTGAACAGTTTGCTATTGAAGATGGCTGAAAATTGGTGATTTACCCTCTGGTAATTGAACCTGGTTGGTGGTTTGGAACATGAATGGATTATTTTCCCATATATTGGGAATTTCATCATCCCAAATGACGAACTCATATTTTTCAGAGGGGTGGCTCAACCACCAAGCAGTAACACTTTGCTATTGAAGCCATGGCCATAGAAATTTCGTTGATTTTGCCAGCTATAAAATGGTAGTTTTCCATCGTTTTTGGTATTACCAGGCCGGATATGGCGGAGATAAACATGTTACAATCCCTTACCTGGTATAACTATACAGGTTCACTGAGGTTTGGGATAAGCATGGATAAGTTGATAAGCATTCACCATGTGGGGAAAACCCCAGCATGTTCCAGAAGGTACATCCAAAAACGAGCAGTTCAACAAAAAATCACTGGTGGTTTGGAACATGAACGGCTTTTATTTTTCCATTGGGAATTTCATCATCCCAACTGACTTTCACTCCATCATTTTTCAGAGGCGTTGAAACCACCAGATCATCATTTTCCCGTTGATTGCGTTGAACGGCCATATGTTCCCTACATCAACTGGGCCTGGTTCCATCTAGCCAAGTGGCGACCAGAGTGCGCAAAATCTTCCAATTCCCAGTGAAGTCATTGTAAATCACCATGATTTCTGGTAATTTAGCAATGGTCCTATGTTCAAGTTTGCTCCTATCTACCGGTAAAGAATAGCAACAGCGGAGGAAACAGTTTTTTTTTGAGCAATCCGGATATTGGAAACCAATCCAACCTTCAAGTCATAGGATTCATTGAAGGGAAAATTTACAGTGAACCTCTAGCTTTGGAGTCAGAATGATTGTAAAAACACATAATTTGCTGTAGATGTTCCCATCATTTCTTGATTAACACCATATTATCATATTATTCTTGGTTTTCTACCCGTTATTCGTTGCTTAACCTGTGAAATGTCCATGTTTTCCATTCTCTGGTTATTTAACGTACATTTATAGTGGAATTTCCCAGCTTCAAAGTGCATTGATAGTGGTTTTTCTCATTGTAAAGCTCCATTTCAAGTGGATTTTGCCATGGATTTTCCCTTTCCTCCACCCCGTCCCTCAGGTCATGTACCTCAGCTTCCGGGAGTTCATGTCCTAGCACGAAGCGCGGTGCTGTGCTGAGGAGGAGACGGGAAGCCGGGAATGACGCGATTCGCGGAAGATCGAGGCTGGTGTCCCCTTAGTGAAAAAGGTTTAAATAGATTACTAGGTCAATCTTGGACAGGTAGAAACTAATCGTTTAGTCTTTTGGCATCAATGGGATTATCTACGTTCACCAGCTAAGAATTTGTCATTTTTTGTAGGGTATCTAAGACTGGCCATGATTAGACAAGATGTCATAAGAATAGTTTCTGATATATCATGGTTTTTGACATCTATGTTTATACCATATCTAATATAATGTGAAATGATGCTTTGAATTTGAATATCTAATATCTAATGATATCAGGGGACACCACCCAAGATAACCTAAGAATAATGTTATAACATCTAGATTATCCAAGCGGAAGATGCTATAAGAATAGTTTCTAATGTATAAGATTATATGTGAGGGGTGTGAATATCTATGGTCATACGATATCTAAGGTTACTCATATCTAGTGCTTATTTGTCCTACCTGATGTATCGACATATATAATATCATACAATATCTAATACAATGTATACTATACAATAATTATATACACGCTCATAAAATCCGAATCACTTCATAGTGATAGTTACAGCACTTTTCTGCGTCTTTTTGGGTGATAAACTATGAATGGTTTTTCAAGTGGTGCCCCTACACGCTATGTTTGTGGGTGTCTAAACCCATCCGACTTTGCAAAGTAGGAGCACCAAGTCGCTACCTCCAAAATGGGTGCCTCAGATGGCCCCATGTGTATCCGTTGTCGCGAAGACAGCTGTCAGCCAACAGGGCTGCTGAGTCAGCCAACAGGAAGGCGCGAGTCAGCCAACAACCAGGGCGGCGCGATTTTCAGACAACAAGGTCTGCGAAGTCAACAACCAGGTCGCGAGTCAAACAACCAGGTCGCGAGTCAGACAACCAGGTCACGAGTCAGCCAACCAGGTCGCGAGTCAGCCAACCAGGTCGCGAGTCAGCCAACCAGGTCGCGAGTCAGCCAACAGGTCAGGAGTTAGCCAACCGGTCGCGAGTCAGCCAGCCGGTCGGCAGTCAGCCAACAGGTCACCAGTCAGCCAACCGGTCGCGAGTCAGCCAACAGGCAGCCAAGAGGTCACGTGTCAGACAACCCGGTCGCGAGTCAGCCAACCAGTTTGCACGCAGGACATGAAAAGAAAGGAAATGAAATGAGGGGGAGCCGTGAGAGGACATGAAAGGAAATGAGAGGAAGTTAAGTTCTTTGTACTTTTCTCGAGCGATCCCCACCCTGACACACTAATTGTTACATAATTTCTGACGTAGCAGGAAGTATAAATGGTATATCTATATCTATATCTAAATCTATCTCTATATATATATTGTATTCTAACATGCTTTCTGACATTTTTTTCTGGCATATATGCTGATTTTGAGATGCTTGGCACGTTGCAAGATGCTTGAAACGTTTCACAACATTGTCGACGAATGACCGTGTGATTATTGTTGGGGTGGGGGTGGGGGGGAGGTGGGGGGAACTTTTGTCCGACACACGTAGGCACATGCAGCTTGCGACACGCTCTTGATGCTCTGCTCTGAACTTTTTCCTAGTCACTTTTTGAGCCGGTCTTGACGCTATGCTCCGAATTTTCTCTTGTAACTTGCCACAGATGGCGCATTTAGAAGATGTTGTGACGTTGCAAGATAGTTGGCACGTTGCAAGATGCTTGGCACGCTGCAAGATGCTTGAAACGTTTCACAACATTGTCGACGAATGACCGTGTGATTATTTTTGGGGTGGGGGGGGGAGGGTGGGGGGGACGGGGTGGGAAACTCTTGTCGGACGCAGGCACATGCAGCTTGTGACACGCTCTTGATGCTCTGCTCTGAACTTTTCTCAGTCACTTTTTGAGCCGGTCTTGACGCTATGCTCGGAATTTTCTCTTGTAACTCGTTGTTGTGAGGTTGCAGAAAGTTGGCACGTTTGCAGATGCTTGGCACGTGCAAGATGCTTGAAACGTTCAAACATTGTCGACAAATGACAGTGTGATTATTTTTCGGGTGGGGGCCGGTGGGGGGAAAGTGTGGGGTGGGGGAGGGGAGGGGGTGGGAAGGAAACTTTTGCCCGGAACACAGAACATGCAGGTGTTTGGACACGCTCTTGATGCTCTGCTCTGAACTTTTCTCAGTCACTTTTTGAGCCGGTCTTGACGCTATGCTCGGAATTTTCTCTTGTAACCTGTCAAAGATGGCTCATTTAGAAGATGTTGTGACGTTGCAAGATAGTTGGCACGTTGCAAGATGCTTGGCACGTTGCAAGATGCTTGAAACGTTTCACAACATTGTCGACAAATGACCGTGTGATTATTTTTGGGGTGGGGGGAAGGAGGGTGGGGGGGACGGGGTGGGAAACTCTTGTCGGATGCAGGCACATGCAGCTTGTGACACGCTCTTGATGCTCTGCTCTGAACTTTTTCAGTCACTTTTTGAGCCGGTCTTGACGCTATGCTCGGAATTTTCTCTTGTAACCTGTCAAAGATGGCACATTTAGAAGATGTTGTGACGTTGCAAGATAGTTGGCACGTTGCAAGATGCTTGGCACGTTGCAAGATGCTTGAAACGTTTCATAACATTGTCGACAAATGACCGTGTGATTATTTTTGGGGTGGGGGGAGGGGGGGTGGGGGGGACGGGGTGGGAAACTCTTGTCGGATGCAGGCACATGCAGCTTGTGACACGCTCTTGATGCTCTGCTCTGAACTTTTTCCAGTCACTTTTTGAGCCGGTCTGATGCTATGCTCCGAACTTTCTCTTGTAACTCGTCAAAGATGGCACATTTAGAAGATGTTGTGAGGTTGCAAGAAAGTTGGCACGTTGCAAGATGCTTGAAACGTTTCACAACATTGTCGACGAATGACCGTGTGATTATTTTTGGGGTGGGGAGGGGGGTGGGGGGGAAGGTGGGGTGGGGGAGGGGGGGACGGGGTGGGAAACTTTTGTCCGACACAGGCACATGCAGCTTGTGACACGCTCTTGATGCTCTGCTCTGAACTTTTTCAGTCACTTTTTGAGCCGGTCTTGCATGACGCTATGTAACTCGTCACAGATGGCACATTTAGAAGATGTTGTGACGTTGCAAGGGGACTCAGGCGCCGCCGTCCGACACAGCCCCTCAGCGGCCGACACAGAAGCCCCTCGGCCGACACAGACATGCCAGTTTCGACACACATGCTAAGTTAGCGCTGGGATCTTTTTTCCTTCTTTGTGGAAGCCTTGCACGCGCCGCCCCGCCGTCCGACACAGAAGCCCCGCGGCCGACTCAGGCGCCGCCGTCCGACACACCCCCTCGGCGGCCGACACAGAAGCCCCGCGGCCGACACAGACATGCCAGTTTCGACACACCGACCTTAGTTTGCTAAGTTAGCGCTAGGATCTTTTTTCCTTCTTTGTGGAAGCCCTGCACGCGCCACCCCGCCGTCCGACACAGAAGCCCCGCGGCCGACTCAGGCGCCGCCGTCCGACACAGCCCCTCCGCGGCCGACACAGAAGCCCCGCGGCCGACACAGACATGCCAGTTTCGACACACAGACCTTAGTTTGCTAAGTTAGCGTTGTTTTTTTTTCCCATCTTTGTGGAAGCGCTGCGCACGCCGCCCCGCCGTCCGACACAGAAGCCCCGCGGCCGACTCAGGCGCCGCCGTCCGACACAGCCCCTCGGCGGCCGACACACATGCCCCGCGACCGACTCAGGCATGCCAGTTTCGACACACAGACCTTAGTTTGCTAAGTTAGCGCTGGGATCTTTTTTCCTTCTTTGTGGAAGCCCTGCACGCGCCGCCCCGCAGTCCGACACAGAGTGCCCCGCGGCCGACTCAGGCGCCGCCGTCCGACACAGCCCCTCGGCGGCCGACACGGTACTTCGCGCCGGCCGACACGGTTCTTGGCGCCGGCCGACACGGCACTTGGCGCCGGCCGACAAGCACACCCAGCCGCGGCCGACACGCCCACCCCGCCGGCCGACTCACCGCGGCCGACACAGACCCTGTCCGTATCCGTTTCTTTCTTAGTGGATTTTGGTGATTTATAGCCTGAAAATATCGCCGTTTGGCGGTTTTAAATCTAATTCCCCCATCAATTAGAAATACCAATCGTGACAAATAAGCAAATATAAAAATATAAAATGATACAGGTCCTAAATCAAATTGGTGACTACAAATAAATATATATATATATATATATATGTACATCAGTTATCTATAAATCTGTTCTAAACAAAAGGGAGTCACAATTTCAAATATGAATTATCTATCTGAATTCAAGCGGCAATCTAGCTGTCATTTGACCTCGCTTCCACTTCTCCTTGCGTTGCGGTTTGGACATCTCCTTGCGTTTGGATACCTCTGAACTTCATCTGATTCGAGTAACCTTAGTAAAGCACTTATAAGTAAAGCAGTCATTTTATCTGGTCGGTGGTTTGAACATGAATTTTATTTTTCCATATATTGGGAATGATAGTAAACACCAACCAGTTATAGTAAACCCATCAAAATAGTAAACTCTCCCCAACATTAATCTGCGCAATTTAGAGGGTCAAACGAGGTAGCGAGGTGGAGTTAGCAGATTTAGCGAGGTTAACGTCGAGGTGGGATTAGCAGATTTAAGACAGGAGTCTCTCAGAAGGTTCAGTTTCATCAAGTTGTTGGAGTAAAACAATATGTCAGGTTCCCAAGTATTGATTTTGAGTGGACTGGAAGCAGTGCAAAATCAAATCTGATTTCATCCCACAAGGGGCTCATTCCATTTTATTCCACAAGGGGCATGCGAGAAAACAGATTTTCAGAGCCTCAAAAATTGTTTGTCTGATGGGTTGGTCCGGGAACAGAGAAAGAGGAGTTGCAACATCTCATTCCCAGTCTCACAAGGGCAGTGCAAAAAAAAGAAGATTTTCAGATCGCGATTATGTTTTCTTCGCAGTGCTCGGCTTGACCCCCGCAATCCCCACAAAAAGGGTTCATTCCATTTCATTCCACAAGGGGAATGCGGAACAAACATATCGGAACCCAAAAGAACTGCGTGTTTTTTTCTAAAGCCCGATTTCATCCCACAAGGGGTCATTCCACAAAAAACCGAAATCAACAAAGGGAAATTGCAAACTTCATTTCCGATCCCACAATGCAGTGTTGGAAGGTGGCCTGGTTGGAAGGAACCTGCGCCCGGCTCTCCGTTGGTCTATGTTGCCCACTAACTCAGCTAGCCGATTTGACCGACGAGGGAAACGAGGTTAGATTTATTCTAAATATCCCAGATTAATAGAATAAAATGCTAGTTCACCTATTAATAGTAAACCATCAGATGTTTTTACGATAAGGAGTTATATAGACCATCAAAATCTGGGCGGTTCAGTATGTCTTTACTAACATTGTATAAATCACATAAAATTGAAAATCCATGAGAATCCCCCAATCGAAACCCTGGTATAGTGTTGGGCATAGGGTCCCTGATTGGGGGCAATTATTTCATATGATGCGTGGTGATCAAGTTGCAGTTAATTGCCGAGGTAGCAACATATATATTCGGGGGGAGCGGCATTTTCAATGCGGCTCCAGGCACCCGAGGACTTTACCGGTCAGGCAGAACTTGCTAGGAAAGTCTCTCGAGGAGTACATCAAGGCCAATCGGCGCACGTTCCGATTGCTTAGGGACGCGATGGTGGACGCTTGGACCGCGACAACGTTCGAGAGCAGCAAGGTGATGAGCATGAATCGGAAACATCTTCTATTCGAGGACGGCAGAGATGGACACCGTGTCGAGGAACAAGCAGAAAATGCTGCATGGCCCATGCTGTGGTGTAGGTTGTCACGTCTTTCGACGTTTCGTGGATCGAGCACTACGCTCACTTTGTTGTTGCCGCGATTACATCTCTTTTGAAATCGAGGCTTGAGATCTCGTGGGCACGGGTGTTCCAGAAAGCGGGAGTTCTCATTACCGGGGTGAACAAGGCCTTCCATTCATCATTAAATCTCCATCATTACTGGGTATAGACCTCCGAAATCCCCCTCTACCGATGAAATACCCCATTTTTAGTTATATAATTCCCTAGTATCATCCCATTCAACACCCATATCTCAAAATGTTGCTGGTTATGACTTGTTTTTTGTCGTTTTTCTTTCGGATTTCTCAAGTTTCCGCAGGGATTTCTCCATCTGAAGAAAGCTTCTCCATGGCCACCGGGGCGACCAGGACTCGGTGCTCATGGGCACTCGCGTGGCACGCTCCACCTTTATGCTGGTGATTGCCTTGGCGCCTCGATGATCTCGATGGCCTCGGCGCGTTTAAGTGGCGGTAGGAAGGCATGAAGAAAAATCATCATTTTCCTAACCAAGATATACCCTCTGGTTATTTAACATAGCCATGGAAAATCACAATTTTTAAGGGGAATAAATATATGGATTACCATCTGGTTATGACTAACAGTTTGCCATGGAAAACCACCATTTATAATAGGTAAATCCACTATAAATGGGCCATTTTCCATGGCTATGTTAAATAACCAGAGGGTAATAATGGCTGTATATATTCAATGGTCATGCAACAGGAACCGATTGAGGACGGAGGTACCGATTCCATATATTTTTGGCCTATTTTTTGGGCCTATGTAAGCGAATATCCCCACAAAATATGGCCTTACATGGTACAGTACCTCCACTTTAGGATCCTGAAATTGCCATTGATGTATATGTATATATATATATATACAAAATAATGGCTATATCAATGTATTAATGGCTATTTGTGGTATCGAATATCAATCAACTAAAAATGATAGAATACTATAGCTATATATTTGTATATAATACGATCAGGTATGATTTTCATACATAGCTATTATATAGATACATGTTGATAGAATCATCCATCTTAAATAATAGTGTACTATAGTATTATCATAATCATGATAGTATCAATTTTCCAAAGTATCCAGAATATCAAGTATATGTTGATAGATTCTGACAGATATTTAATGACGATTATATGTTGATAGATTCTGAGAGATATTTAATGACGGCTATATATAGCACTATCAACATGCAATACTGCCAACAGAATTATGATCTAGTGTTGATATTACATATGTATATATATATATATGTGTGTATCATTGCGGGATACTGGCCATGATCATAAGCCACTGTTGAACGAAAAAAAACGTATTTGGAGGGGAACCTGTGGCAACACACTTGATTTCAATTCATCAGTTTGGATCCATACGTTATTTATTTTGTAGGTTCTACAAGTTTACACAATCTATGTCCAAGGTCGCTAAAGTCCAGGAGCTGCTAATTTTCCCCTTGGCTCTTGGGTTGGTGCTAAATTAGTTGGCCAAAGTTTTGATCCCTTGGAGTGTCCGAGAAAAATGGTTCCTATTTAAGGCCAGCCTTTGTTTTTCTTCCCTTGGCCTGAAAACCCCGTTACTCCCAAGGTATAAGGTGGATCCGTCCGAAAATAGGTTACCCCAAAAAATATGATGTTTGATCGTTGATCATTATCTTCCAATCTAGTTTTCCCATGTTTCAATGGCCATGACTGGGCAAAAACATCCCCGAAATATTCGTTGGACTGAGCCGCTGCCGCTGCGAGGTCTTCTGTTCCATCTGTCCGGTGGTCCTGCTGGCAGCGGCCGTGTACTTCCTCATCGAGCGTCATCTGGCGAAGGTCAAAGGTGATTTGATGGAGATGTTCGAGGTATCAGGTAGTATAGGGTGAGGAAAGAACATGTTGTAGTCCTAATATGTCCTAATAGTAGTTGGTTTATCACCCCCAAACAAGAATTATACTCCACATATATAGTTGTTTATAGACTATACTCGTAGTTGTATCCCCTATAAACCCAACAGTTCTTGGAGTTATAAACCCAGCAACTGAATGCAATTTCATAGACGGGACCCTCACCTTGTGTAGACCCAAAATGGACCATTTGCAGGTCCAAAATCGCTAGTGCCTGATAGTAAGTAAGCTAGATATAGTTACTATCGCATAATGCTAAATCCTCATGTTTCATTTCGTTACCGGATTGTATACCCTCTAGTGAACATACAAAAAACTATGGAAAATCCACCCATGTTTTTCCACCATGCTTAACCAACAGACATGTGGCCAACAAAACAGGCATCCGCCAATTCCAGCTACAAAATTATAACTGGTTGGTGGTTTGGAACATGGTTGGATTATTTTTCCATTCAGTTGGGAATGTCATCATCCCAACTGACGAACTCCATCATTTTTCAGAGGGATGGCTCAACCACCAAGCAGTAACACTTTGCTATTGAAGCCATGGCCATAGAAATATAACTATGGAAAATCACCATTCTTAATGGGTAAATCCACTATTTCTATGGCCATTTTCAATAGCTATTTTGACATAACCAGAGGGTAATTTTACAGTCCTGATTTTTCAATATTTTTCGTGGATCTTGCCAAAACAGGGTTGAAAGACGATCATCCAAATATTGGTGCCCCTCAGACTCTATGTTAGGTTGGCGGCAACCACCATTTGCTTCCATATGTTCAAGGTGTTGGAAGAATAAAAATGATGGCTTTTCATGTGGTTTCATCATTTCTTATCTCAAATGGATCTCATGATCTTATCATATCCATTCGAAACATGTGAAAACAATCTATTAACCCCATATCACCCCTGATTTTCCCCAGATGTTTCCAAGATTTGGAGATTATTTTGGTATCAATGGGAATATCTACGTTCACCAGCTAAGAATTTGTCATTTGTTGCAGGCTACCTAAGATTGGCCATGGTGAGTGGTGAATATCCATGGTATAACATGGTATAACCCACTTCTTTATGGAATGTCCCTAGCCATACATATGTATATATATATATATGTGTATTATATGTGTATTATATATATATATATATTATATATGTATAATATTATAATACACATATAATACAAATATCTGTGTTTCCCTAGTTTTCCATGATTTTGATCATCCCCAAGCCCCAAGGCCTGTCGCACGGCTACCTGATGCTCTCCGCCGAGCCGCGGCAGGGCGATGCTGGGGGCGAACTCTTCGTGCAGGCGCTGAAACAGGTCCGGCGCCGGGAAAAACCAGGGGAACCATGGAGAAAAGGGGTGCATAAACCACGGTGATGGCCATTCTTTAAAGGGAATATCTGTCTGTCTGTCTGTCTATCTATCTATCTAAACAATGTGCTGACTAAATTTTCATGGTCATGCATCTTTTCCCTGAGTGTTGACATAGTTTGAACAAACAAACATGGACAACACGTGCATGACGTGATCCCATCCCTTCAATCGGTGCTATGGAAATGGAGTAGTTTTCAACTAGCAAACAGCGCACCTCCTCTAAGCGTCACTGATAGCGCTATTGCCCCTTCCGAAAGGATCTGGGAGAGTCGTTGAAGACGTTGCTGAGTGTGGGATGTAATCTGGCAGAGAGCTGTGTTCAATCGAATTTTGTCACAGGCATTGATGGAGTCTTTCATGGTTGATTGGTGCAGAAAGGGACCCAAGCGTTAAGTTTGTTGGTTTATCTTTCCTCATCTAACTATGTCAGTATTTCATCACTGTAAACCTTAGTTAACCTGGTTATAAGCCCACTTAGCTAAGCATGGGACACCAGCGGGGAGAAATGGTGACTTTTTTGTCAGGTTGAACATGAAGAATTTGGTCGGATCTAAAACGGATTAGTCAGGGAAACAGATGGTAGATTAAGGTGAAAGATTGAGCATCAGAAGCTGGGAGAGTATGAAACATTGAAACATGAGGGTTTTTATATAACCATGTTTAACCAACAGAGATGTGGCCAACAAAACAGGCATCCGCCAATTCCAGCTAAAAAAATACGGTGTTGAACATAACATAAAATGAAGAGATGCGACCCATTCCACTGCTTCTGGGGCAGAAATCAAGTGGTACAATGTGGGGCCCCCAAACGTTATAAATAGGTTTTTAAACCCCATTAACTATATTTAGTTATTTGCGTATCATATCGTATCATAAAGCATATATTGCCGTTGTTTGCACCAACTTAGCTATCGAACGCGGGCCTCACATTGTACTGGTATGTGTTTGCTGCGATGGGAGTCCTTGGAGGCCTAAAAAATACAATTTGACATCCTTCCGGGATGTTGGTTCCAGCCAGAAATTTCTAAGCGGGGGTTTGACCAGCAAACGTTTCATGCCGATGCCGGCGAACTTTATTGCAACGGGATGCAAGGGTTGGAAACAACTGGTGGTTGTAAATATCCGACGTGCAGGGGGGTTGGCAGCACCATTTTTCAGTGAAATTACGACACCCGCGATGTTACCATAGATGATGGCTAGGTTCATGTGAACTATCGCATTTTGTGGGCCTACATTTCAAACTGATGAATTATGACTTGAGTAAATTTATCCAGAGTTTAGAGTGAATTTGAAAAAAACGAATCAAGTTGGGTAGATGGCCGTTCCTCGTGAAGATGACGGAAGAGGGATCTCTTTAGTGAGAGTGGGAAAGGAATATACCCTGCCCAAAAGTGGATGATGATTTAGTACCGGGTGGGGCCCCCATAATTAGTTTTGTTTGTTGATTTTACATTTATATATATATATTGTTTTTTAACCCCAAATGACTATAGTTATATCCCTGGTAAACCCTATAGTCCTTGGAGTTATAAACCAACTTAGCTATCGTTTGGGGGCTCGTTTTTCGTTAACGAGGAAACCAATGCGTATGTTCATTGGATTTGGGGGATATATTTATGGACAAGGCATTTAATGGGGATGTTTTTCTAGATATATCCCATCATATCCCCACCATGACTACACTCCCTCCACGGTTTGGTTAAACCATATTGGAACATGGTTAAAGCCCCATGTGTTGCTGTTGATGACCCATATCAGCCATATCATCTATGCCATGGTCAAAACATTCTGATTACTTTCCCATAGGTGACCGCCAGAGTGGGTAATATACTCAATATATTTATTTGCAGTCCCATTCATGATGGCGGGATGGGCGTACCAGGTCACATGACATTACGTGATCTTGTTGGTTTTGTTGGCGCCACATCCCATGAAACATATCCCTTTCATCCCATTCAAAATACCTTGGTTGATTGATTAATTTCGGGAGCTGTACTACCCAATTTATTTCTATTATGATAACCCATACTCGTAGTCGGGAATCTAGAAAAAACAACTAGTATTTCATGAGATGGGAGCACGTGTTTTTTAATGACCCATGTGAGCCTTTACCATGGCAGCATGGCCATACATGTCCTTTTCCCATTGGTTGGTTGATTAATAGAAGGGTTTCTTCAGAAACCCGTTTAACAACAGGTTTGTTTGATGATAGATGGGATTAAGTAGCTCCCGGCCCAAACCTATTTTTACCAAAAGGACAATGGTACAGTACCTCCATTTTAGGATCCTGAAATTCCCACTGAAAAAAATGGGGATTTCCAAAAATAGATGGAGGATTTCCCATGGTTGAGCATGGCGCAGGTGCACACGGGCTTGCTGATCTACGTCCTGCTGATGATTGGTGTGCTGGGTTCCAATGGATTCGAGCGTGGGACCCTGGAGAAATGCTACCGGTTGCTGGTGCCCTGGTGCCCGGTTTGGGAACGACTACCCTCTGGTAAACTAACGTTTAACGATGGAAAATCTCCATTTTTCATAATGGTAAATCCACTATAAATCACCATTTTCAATAGTTGTGTTAGTTTACTAGAGGGTAAGTTTGGCTTAAACCAGGATTTATCTTGACAAAACTGGAAAGATTGGTTGATAAACTGATTCCATTTTTGCAGAATCATGTGCCACGATGAATCATTAAGAAGAAGGCGGACACACACACCTTGCGCAGTTCAGATCAAGCAAAACAAGGGTCCCTACTGTCACCTTAGCGAAGAAATTCAAGTTTTGGAACATCATTTTATGATCAGTTACAACTCAGAGATGACCCAACTTCATGGTTTCAATCGGTTTCAATGTTATTTCCCAAAAAATCCTTCAGCGGAAGTGGAATTCCTGGACCACCTGAGGTTCGGCTTGCTGCTGGTTCCAATTCTGTCGCAGGGCTGCAAGTGGCGGCCAATGTTCGGTGGCATTTTTGGGCATGGCAGGCATGGCAGGCATAGCGCCTCATAGTCACAGTTATGGTCGCAGTATGGTCCCTTTGAAAACTCCTGACTGGAAATGATTAGAAGAATGTCGAAGATCTGCTTGCAAATGGCTGGCATGGCCATGACTAGTTGGTGCGTTCAACACATTTCAACCCTAGAAATGGGATGATGCTCCTGACGCGAAATCTCCGAACTAGCCATGGAGGTGCTAGTGGGACAATCATCTAACTAAATGCTGGATTTTTCTGCAAACCATGTTTGATTACTTGGATGTGCATGTCAGTTAGTAAGTGATTTATAACCCCTTTATGTGTATATATACATATACATACATACATATATACATATACATATACATATACATATACATATACATATATATATATATATACGTATATTATATATATAATATACACGTGTATATATATATACACTATATATATATGTGAATATTCTCTATATACCTAGGGATATACTGTTTTTTCTATGAAAATTTCAGTGGGATGCGCGCCACCAGAGGGCATCTGGGCTGGATGAGGTTCATGGTGAGTTGGTCCTTGCTGAGTCTGGAGAGTTTCCTCTGGCCCTGCCTACCGTTGAATCAGGCGCTCCTTCCATGGGGTCAGTCATGAGATAAATATCCCCCAAATGGATATGTTGCTTATGGAAAACTAACATAACTATGGAAAACTAACATAACTATGGAGAATCACCATTTTGAATGGGAAAATCAACTATAACTATCAATGGTAATTTTCAATAGCTATGTTAGTTTACCAGAGGGTAAACATGTTGAAAATGATGAGAATCCGGAAAATTGTGCGTAATTGAACGTGAAGTGATGACCCTGAGAGACAGATTGCAGTTTCACGCAGCCCAGCCAGACACCCCTGAGTCTTCAGCCTCCGCTTTGGTCGCAATTGGTCACCGCTATGGCCTCCTTTTGGTGTACCCTTTGGTCGACATACATAAAGGTTTGGACATCACCATTTTCAATACCCATAGGATCCACGTATGCTATATATGGTAACATTTACCATCAATATACCCCAAATGTTAGCATATATACCATACACGGATCCCTATGGAGATAAAGGTTTGGACATCAGCATTTTCAATAGGTACATCATCTATAAAATGGGCCATGGCTTCCAGTTCGCTATGTCAGTCTACTGGAGAGTATCTCTGTGGTTTGATTTTTTAGGGTCCAGACACTCCATCATTTTAGGGGTGTCACGAAGAAAAAACGGGTCATGTGATGATCGTGACCCGCGGTTGATTGGTTGAATCCGCAATTGATGTGCGCAGTTTTGAACCAAAAAAACATTATTAAAAAAAACAAATGATTTAGCAGATTTTTTTGGGGTGATTCAACAGATCATATAAATCACATATAGATATATATAGATAAATGACTTGCCAGAAATTGATGGCTGATTCAACCGATCATGGCATTTTTTGGGGTTTTTCGCCATAGCTTCACCTTTTGAGGTGATGGACTTGGACGACAGAGATCCTCCAATGACTGATGCAACAGAAGCGCCTCGCTCGCCTCCAATTCCAGGGGGATTATCCGTTCGAACTGGTACCATGTGGGGCCCCCGTTCGATAGCGTTCAGTTGGTGCAAATAACTACAATTTCACTGTTGGGTTTATGCTACTTATGCCGAACTAGTTACATGGGGTTATAAATCAACTTATAACGTTTGGGGGCCCCACATTGTATGTGTATTGCGGTTATTAAGTTCTAGGGATGATGATAAATCCCAATTGGATTTAGGCAAAGAAGTAGTGGTTATTAATGTGTAATTGTTTAGAAACAGATAGCAGTTTGATGTGGTAAACTTGTAAACCGAATAGACCACCCCAAGTCATCACCATTTTTATAGTGTAAAAATCCCCAACTGGTAGGTCAGTGGTTTGAATAGAATTTGGAGGTCTACCCCATTGAAAATGGGCTCCATAAAGTGGAAAGCACTGGCAGCAACAGTCCATCTTTAGGATCCTGAAAAACCACAAATTTGTGGCATTGGTGGATTTTCCACAATCGATGAGGTGCACCAGTTTTGATCCATACCCGTAGATGATACCCGTTGGCCAAGTCAGTCATTTTTGGACGAAAGAACTGCCTTGTTGGTACTCCAATCCATTGGCAAGAATGGGGCTTTGGTGACCTCCTACCCAGATGTGTTGTTGCTGGTAGCATCATTTTTCTAGTCAGCCCTGAATAAAAAAAAACGGTTAAGGCAACATGATTTTATCGGGCAAAACTAGAGTCATCCTAGAGACAGAATATCCATGAATATCCACTAGGTTCCTCCAAAATCATTATTTAAATTTGAAGATATTTACTGGTTGGTGGTTTGGAACATGGCTGGATTATTTTTCCATTTAGTTGGGAACAATCATCCAAACTGAGCAACTGACCACATTTTTCAGAGGGGTCCAATTTTTGCCGCGTACGCGTTGCTGAGTTATCTCCATGGTTCGATGTTGAAAAAACCCTTGGGGTAGCTGGATTCAATGAGCGCCGCAACATTTTTGGTCCACTAAAAGTCACATTCGCACTGTATGATACCCGGCCTGGTAAACATACAAAAAAACTATGGAAAATCGCATGTTTTTAATGGTAATGGTAAATCAACTATAAATGGGTTATTTTCAATAGCTATGTTAAATTACCAGAGGGCAGATGCTGTTTTATTATCTACGTAAACATATAAACCATATATGTATAGTATATACATGGATGAATCCTAACTAACTACAGTTTCTGGTAGATATAAGATGATATGTGGGTTTGTCAGCCAACCTGGCAACCTCTAACTGGGCATTCCCATACATGCACAAAAAGATGGGCTCGAGCAAACCACCACGGATTTCTATCACACATCAGCTACTTATCTATCAATTATATAAGCAACTATGTATATATATATATACATATATATATATACATATATATATATATATATATATCTGTATATGAATACAAGTCCCATTTAATCATAATCATATTAAATACCTATATTTTTCTAGTAGAATCTAGGTTAGCATGTTTCGCCATGTTTCCTCTGGTGTCGCCCCACAAACCATTTCGTCAGGTCTATGAGCAATTGGAGTGCCGAGAAGAGATCGTGCAGATAGTGCCACAGATCGTGGTGTCCAGGTGGGGTTTAATCAATGGCCGTTGCAGGGATAAGGGCGTAGTTTCAGGGAATATAGCAACAAAATATGGCTACTCAAATAAGGTACAGTACAAAATCACTCCGTTTTCAGGCCCTTTATTTTTCTTCCCACTGAAGCAAAGTCAAAAGTGGGATTCAATAAAGTACAAGATTTCAAGATGCTTTACCTGAAAATATGTTTGGCTATGGCAGCTATTTTTGTCAAACTTCAAGGCCTAGGGAGCAGCCAGAACCAACCCATCCCCAAATGTGATGTTGTTTCTAGGGTGCTTCAACTGTTTCAACGAGATGCAAAGTGATGCCCCCGAGAAAATTAAAATGTTACAAGTTGATAAATCTATCCACCCAATCGTTGGCCCGTATATGTTAATGCAACCAGGCGATATGATGTTATTGCGGGTTTTCTAAATATATCAGGCCCGGTACAATCACCATTGTTTGATATAAACAAGCAAATATTATCACTATATCTTTTACACCGGAACTTGATATTTGTCTACGAATATTTACCATTAAGATCATATGTTGTATACTTTTGGCCATGTATATACATAATCATGTAATTATATATAATTACATATATATATATATAATTATTATAATTATATATATGTAATTGTATATACATAGATAGTTAAGTTATATATATATATATTTACATTGAAAGATACACTCAGAAACCAGGTGCCACCCCCAAAAGCATCCTCCAAGTTCGCCACGCCTAGGGCTTCGCTGACCGAAGCTGCCGTGGCTGCTGCCGCACCAACAGTTGCGCCGCCTGCGATGCCTGCGATGCCACCGGCGGCGGCGATGTCGACGACGACGACGGCGGCGACGAGGGGTGGAGGCGCGAAGTGGGGATGGAGGTACCTGGCGAAAATGGTGGGAAATCATCTTTAAATCATCTTGAAATGGTGGTTTTAAGGTTCTATTGAATGATAATCATCTTTAAATGGTGTGTGTGTGTTTTTTTTTGAAGGATGTGTTTTAATGGTAGATGATATAACCAACAAGAATCAACAATATGATTTATATCGGGATGGATGAACACTCATTATATATACCATATTTGGGGGAACAACATCCACCTGCCAGCTATTCCGATGTGAACAGAAGTTTTGATCCATACCCATATATTAGTTTGTCTCAAACTGCTGGATGCTAATTTTTGCTGAAGGGGGGAACATGATGCTCGACCAGTGAATTTGGGGATGCTCTAGTTTCAGACAAATCCATAGTGAGAGCACTAAGGAGGCAGGAACGATTACCCTCTGTCAATCGAACATGGGAATGGAAAATCATCCGTTGATGAGTGTCCCATTAAGACACCATTTGTGGAGGATTTTCAACTGCTCCGTTTGATTACCAAAGAATCATATCTGGACTGAACGGTCCAAGAGCCCAAATAACCATAGCCAAGTTTGATGACACCGTTTTGGGTAATATTTCTTTTGGTGCCATGAGTCAAAAGTGATGATAACAATTGATAGTATATGTGTATCTTAATGATTCCAAGCCACCAAACTAGTCAACTTACAATGGTCCAACCCCGTCTTTCGCCATTATCGCCATGCTGAACGCAGGCAAAGCCCCAGAGGAGACAGGGACCGCAAGTCAGGCGCCAGAAGGGTTGGTGAGGCCCCCTTATTTTTTTGTGTATTGTATTGGGTTTAACAGTAATTTCTAATAGTTAGTTACCCCATAATTAAATTACTAGAATAATTACTTATCCAATAATTATTCCAATTAGCTACCCAATAATTATTAGAAAGGATTTAGTCGCCCAGTAGTTCTTAATAATATACAGTTAATTACCCAAGAATTATCAATCTATTGGGTTATGACTATAAGTTGGTTCGTAAACCCATGAATACTATTATACTATAGATATATCTAGTGCAAACATCCATAAACCATAGTTACTATAGTTGTAAAGCAACTTAGCTATGTTATTAAGGATCTCACCTTGTATGGGGGACCAGCTTTCGTTCCATGCCAAGTTTCTAAGTGAAATTTATTGATTCCAAAAAATCAATGGTTTCAGGATGCTAAAATGGAGGTACTGTACCATATAAGGCCATATTTTGTGGGGATATTCTCTTACATAGGCCTAAAAAATAGGCCATATATGGTAGGTAGCTCCAATCAATCGGTTCCTGAAATGGCCATTGAAAAAAACTAAGGTTTTCAGTTTCCAGTCAGGTTTTGGTAGCTCTTCCATGCTATTCCTATGCCATGGGGCTTCAGCCGAGTTTCCAGCCAAGTTTCCGTGATGTTTTTTCGGAGAAGCAGCTGACCTACAAAGTGGATCAAGATGGCCGGTTTGATACTTGAAGGATTTTTCCAACAAAACCCATCTGCTTGTGGGCTGGGTCTGTTAGCAACTGTTAGCATACTGAAGATGACTCATCTAAGACGTAACAAGCCTGCCTGGTTGGTGCCAAAGTAAAAATGTCCTGCTTTTCTCATCCTATTTCTTGGGATGCCTGAGTTGGCTACAAAGAAGTTTGTCAAAGAAAACGGTGCAAGCCATGTCGCAGGAATTTCACACATAGTTGTTTCTATATTATTTACAATACAGGATCCACGTACCAAATTCTTCAAAGTGACCCTTTTGAGGTGGTTCGTGACCTTTTTTGGGGTTCTGATGGTTCTGTGACCTGGAATTGGTGCTTGAAAAGGTCACTTTGACAGAACCAGTTGTGACTTTAGACATAATTACCCAGTATGTGGGTGAATCTTTGGTTGAAATGCCATGTTTCTCGTTGTCGAGGAAGCCGAAGACTTGGAGTTCTGAGTGCAGAAAAAGCCATTGCTTGAGTTCTGAGCGGGAGATCATGGGTGCCAGCATTGGGGGAATAAAAATCTGGTGATCATGAGTTTTCATGAATTATCCAGATTCAGGAGGTTTCCAAAAATGGCAGACCCTGGAATCATCCAATTTGTTGGCAACTCTTGATGTGCATTTGGTTTGCTCTGTCCACCCTGTTTTTCCTCCGTATCAGAAAATATAGAAAATATTGATGATACACAATTTGAAATTGGATAGCATTGGATATCCATGTCATATTCTCAGGATTTTTCAGCATAGTATATCACTTGTGTCAATTTGATCAATGACCTCAGTCAAAGACTTCACGCGAGCAGTGGTTGACGTGCTTGGCTGGTGATTGGATGGAGTACGAGTAGAAGTAATCCGACAATAGAGTTTCATAACATTCAGGTGACGAAACGAGTTGGAATTCTGTATTCTACTGCATCTTGGTCAGATTCGGGGGAACCATGATTCATCCCGCTCGAGCGTGCTTCAAGTCAGCTTGCTGGATGCTTTACAACACAGCTTGGTCAGAACCTTCCATTTTGATCATTTTGTGTATCCATTCGGTATGTTTACATATGTAGGTTTCCTGCAATGGGGGTACCCCAAAATGGATGGTTGTCTAAAAATAATGGTAAATCCTATTAAAATGGATGATTTGGGGGTACCCCCATTTTCGAGAACCTGCATATCACCATTCATACCCCAAACATCCCCCAAAGATGGGTATCTGGTTGGTGCTTTGGAACATTTCTTATTGTTCCATTCAGTTGGGAATAATAATCCCAACTGACGAACTCCATCATTTTTCAGAGGGGTGGCTCAAAACCACCAACCAGTTATATAGTTATTAAACATCATTAACCATATAATAACCATATATTAACCATTATTAACAGTATATAACCACCAACCATTAAACATGCTTCCTGACCACACTCCCTGTCCTTGTCCTTGATGACTCTCGCAGGTTTTTTTGTTGTCCATCTCAGGTGCGACAAGTTCCCACCTGGGATTTCGAGAGTGCGAACCATGGGGCTGGATCATTGAAAATATTGTCTGGAAGATATTATGGTTTATATAGGAAAATGTGAATGTGTCGGTAGTAATCAACATGTATCCAAACCATATATATATATACGTGTATATATATAATTGTATATATATAATGGTATATATATATAATTTGATCATGATTGTGATAAATGTTTGTAAATATTGCAGCACGAAGGAGCATTTGGGCTAGGAGACTTCAAAAATTGTATCAGCATGGTAACATGGTCATGTTGAAATGTTGGACTAAGCATTTGATTCCGCCTGACCCAAATGGATTTGAAACATGACCTGTTTTTGTTATCAAAAATGACCATTTTGTGGATTTCATGCTAAACCTAAATGATCTCAATGAGGCTAGATGTTTGCAGCGCATTTGCGGGAATCCATCTTTGGTTTGGGGATGTTGTGTGGAGAGTTGTGGTGTAATGTTTCTCATTTCATGGATCAAGACCTTTCTTGGTAGGAAGACCTTGTGTCCACGTTGATTTTCTGGTTGGCAAACCAGGTTTGGCAAAGCAGAGGTTGGTACCCCCTGGTAGACTAACATAACTATGGAAAACCGGACCATCTATAGATCAATTCGAAAAATGCTGATTTTCCATAGCTTATTGTTATATAAATTACCAGAGGGTACTGTAAATGTCCTATCTTGAAGGCTTTAAATTGTTGATATTACTAGTAGCGCTTTCAAGGGCGAGATGATGTCGGCTGATGTTCGGCCCATGTTCCGTGCAGCCCTGTTTTTTGTCCAGACTTTCTGGGATGCCATGAAACCACCATGACCTCTCAAGAAAGGGTCAAAAATCAAGGGACAAGCCTCCATGTATACAATGCAACTTGAATCAACATTATTTTGAAGATTGCTATTGTTTCAGGATTAGCCGCAGCAACGCGTTTTGCCGAGTTTCGTGGAAGATAAGCAACGCCGAAATACAGCTACCATCATAGAGCTTGATTTGTTCAACGACATGACTCGACTCCATACAGACATTTCCTACTTGAAATCCAATCAACCGATTGCATTTATCCTCCGGTAAACAAACATAGCTATTGAAAATGGCCATAGAAATAGTTGATTTGCCCATTAAAAATGGTGATGTTCCATAGTTCTGTCGGTTTACCAGAGGGTAATAAAACAGAACATGTCTTCCAGAAACACACATTTTTTGGCTTCTGCCGGGTAACGAAGGTATAAAGCAACAAAAATCATGGCCTGGGTCACAATCTGAGGTACCCTCTAAGCCTCTAAGCTCTGGCCTTGAAATTAAGACCCATCCGATACGGTACCAGCATGGTGAGAGCCCTCACAACATGGCGTACGAAGAGGAAGATGTGGTGCCTCGTTGTTCATTACGCGCTGGGTTTTTGGTCAATAGCTGCAGCAGTGGCCAAACATGTCCCAAAGAGTGTGGACCAAACATGTGGGTTGGGATCAAAGCACTGAACGGATCCTCACAGCATATTACACCCAGAATCAAATATCAATTTTCGGGAGTACCTTATTTTGACCGAGACGCATAAACGTCATACTATAGTTACTAGATGGTTTGAAACGAAACTTTCACATACTGTATTTTCACTACAATGACAAGGCATGGCTAAGCGACGCATAGCGACGCCTATGATGCTTGCTCACGAGCCGTGGAGGCACAGCCAAAAGGCACCCTCCGCCATCCAAAGACGGCGCGCGTCAGCGCAGAGGATGGTAGTTCGACCTTTGGAGATGTGGCGTTTTTTGAGATCTTCGCAAAGGGAAATTCGGACATCTTTGGACTTCAGGGACCCAGACTTGTTGAGAGGGGCCTGCCAATGCTATATAATTATATAATATTATATATATATATGTGCATGTGATTATATATGTATTTGTGTATGTATATATGTATATGTAATTATATAATTATATATATACATATATATACATATATATATAGTATATAGTGTATATATATGTGTGTATATAATTGTATATATATATATATATATATTCATCTTGCTGCTATTTTGGGGAGTCGGTTGATTTTTACACCTTCAACGCATTGGTTAAAAATTTTGGGATTTACCACTGCACTCATCCCAGCTTCAGTAGCGCACGGTGTTTGCACGGTAAATATCAGGAATCCTGAGTATCTTTGCCCGGCTGGCAGCATCTAGATAGATCAGAGTGATTTCAAATGGCTTGACCGAAAATGGTCATGATTCAACCAGCAGGAATGATGGATATAATGACTGAGAGGCATAGCATCATATACCGGGTTTAACCCAAAAATGGCTGATAGAGGTGGTTGAAACCATAGGGAAATGAGCAGCAAATATGCAATGGTGGCCTTCATCCTCCTTCTTGGCGCCATTTATGGTGAGAGTCCAAGGATCAACACATAGAGATTGGTGAAGCTTCCCTGCTCTCGGGATGTATTCCGATTGAGGATGGCAGCCACGAAATCTCATCTGGAGAATTTCCAAGAGTTATCAAAAAAGATTCATGTCAATGACATGTTTTTTTTACTTGGTTTTCCATGATTAAACCATTTTCTATCCACATACTGTATTTCTTGGTCAAACCATTTCCAAGCCCCCACTTTTGTTACTTCAATCCAGCATACCATCATAAAACCATAGAAATTCCAGAAATTAAGCCATTTTTTCAACCCCAAAAATGGCCAGCCAAATCATGCCAAATCATGCCAAATCATCATGAATCCCATGTCATGAGCTATTGTCAATACTCATGGTTAATAACCATTAATAGGGGCTAGTCATCCAATGGTTCATAGGGATTTATAGTAACCATTATAAGGATCCTTATTATGGATGGGATGACCATCAACCATATAGTGAGTATTGACCATGGCTCATGTGTTCAGCTGTTTTTCCCGAGTTTTGGTGAACTCCCAGCCTTTCCCCAGGAATGGTGGGAGGTCCGTGCACCTGGCGGCCTCCCCTTGCGTGCCGGGCCCAGCCTCTCGGCGGAGGTGGTGGGAGAAGTGCTGCGACAGCAACGGATCCAGGTCGGGGGGGTTGGTGGGGGGTTGGTTAATCCATAGGGAAAATATGGGAAAACTCTTTGGGTCTTTATAGAATTAGGATTTTCCCATATTTCAGATTTTATATTTCCCACCAATCCATATATTTGGGAATAAATCCATATAGCCAATTTATATAGAATTTATATATATATAGGATAAGGGTGATTCAGTCCATAGCCAGGGATTTGTGTAGAGGATTTATAGAGGATTTCACTATTTATAAGAGGATTTCTAAGGCCATTCTATCTGAACTGAATGTTGATTATATATTCCATAAAATATCACACATAATTCTAATGCCACTATATCTCCATCATGTCCCTACAGTTATGGCCCTTAACAGTTTTAAATGTGCTATATAATGGGATTAGAACTCCTGCAACTAGTTGGTTATATATCACTTAATGAGGTTATAAGCGAATTAGAACTGGCTATAGGGCTATATCCCGCGTTGTGTGTGTGTGTGTCGTTTTTCTTTCCATGGCCTCCTGCAGCGACTTTTTTTTTGGCGCCAGGTGAGCGTCGCGAAGGTGAAAGGTTGGCTGAGGCACGGTGTGGTGTTCAAAAACCCTGGCAGGGTTGATGATTAGTTCGGGGATGATACTACCCTTCATATACCGGGGTCTGGTTGGTGGAACATTTTTTCCATAGGGAATAGTAACCCCAAATAGGCTACCTCCAATTCCAATGGATTTTTTGATGTTCCCCAAGATGGCCATCTGTGGGTATCCTCTATTTTCAGACAAAGCCATGTATGATGTTTACTTGGCTGGTTGGTGGTTTCGAGAACCTGCATATCACCATTTATACCCCAAACATCCCCCAAAGATGGGTATCTGGTTGGTGCTTTGGAACATGGCTGGATTATTTTTCCATTCAGTTGGGAATAGTAACCCCAACTGACGAACTCATAGTTTCCAGAGGAGTGGCGAAAAAGCACCAACCAGGGGATTATAATCCAAGAACCAGGAATCCTGTTCAACCAACCAGGATTCAATCAATGGCCATTTTGGAGGTACCTACCATATATAAGGCCTATTTTTAGGCCTATGTCAGGGAATATCCCCACAAAAAATCATCTTATATGGTACAGTACCTCCATCAATTGGATCCTTTTTATTCCTATTGATTCAATGAAATGATAGAGGGATTTGTTTCACACTGCTCACGTGGTAAATGAGGCCGTGTATCTACACGTGTATCATATCCCACAGCAGGCCGAATTCTTGCATCAGGAAGTTATGGAAATGTGTATCCCGGATGAGACTAAACCATGGTTTACTAATTAGGGGGCTACTCCTCCAAATAGTCTTTTTATATGATACATAAATGGTATCCCAATCAAACAGCCGTTTGGGGTTTATTAATCCAGGGTTGACATTAATGTGTATCCCAAAGTTACTTTGTCATCAAATAATATTTGAATGTAAATCATGTAAAATGGTACCCCAAAGTGCCCACGGTCAAGGAGATCTATAAAGCTCCCAAAGTTCCATTTCTCAACTATAGTTAATGGAGTTTATAAACCAACCTATAACTGGGGGCACCACCCTTGCAGGAAAAACATATTTGGTCAGAAATTGTGTCTACCTTTTGAATTGTACCATGTTCCAGTTCATGGGTAATTATCAGGAAAAGATGTTTGAATGTAAATAATATCCATTTTTTGGTCATAACATTTAGAATGAGATTAATGAATTTAGCACTTTCCTGTTGATTGGTTTCAAAACAGGGGGTTGACATGATCTAACCATCATAGAGGTTTTGACCATCAAACATATGAGAATCAATCCAAATCCAAATCCAATTGGATCATTTAACTTGGGCCCATGAAGAGAACTTGGGAGACCGGTTTGACTGCGCCATTCAAAATACCCTTGTTAACTTGTTGATTGATTTATACAGTAGGTTATAAACCTACCCAGTTTATTGGGATTATGTTTATCCATAGTCCGGGACACCTATCAATCAACCACAAAATTTCATGGGATGGGAGAGCAACATGGGCAACGTGGCCCACATGAATACGCTTGGGAAATATCGGTTATAGAATTTGAATTAACATATATATATATATACATTATATTATATATATATATATTATTATATATATATAATATTATATATTATATATATATTACTGCCACAATACAGCCCCCATGTTCCGCATGGGTTCCGCATGGGTTTCGCCCACTCCTCTGGGACCCTGGGATTTTCCCAGAAAGTCTGTGGGGTCCTTGTTTGGGGGGATATGCATGGCCAGTCCGGACAGGTCTTGCAGCAGTTTGACACAAAGTTTGGTTCGTCTGAAAATAGAGCACAGTTTATTGGGTACTCCTATATCCAACAGTTTATATCAGTTTATAGTCATCCCCAAATAGATGGAAAAGTAAATCCCTACTAATTTGATGGCTATTTGGGGAGAAGGATATAAGGATGGAAGAGTAATCCCCAAATAGATGGAAAGGAAAAATCGTCATCCCCAGCGAAAATTTGATGGTTAGATGGACTTTTCCATCTATTTGGGGATGACTATATCCTTTTCTCATTAGGATGGCAACAAATCGAGGCTCCATGGTGTACCCTCTGGCAAACTAACATAGCTATTGAAAATCACCATTTTTTATGGGAAAATCAACTATTTCTATGACCATTTTCAATAGCGAACTGTTGACATAACCAGAGGGTACATCATGGACTTTTCCCCACGCAACGTGTTCCAACTCTTGGGCATCGCAGGTTGGCGGCTGTGGAAACGTGGATGACTTTTGGTCGACTTTTGGCCTTGCGAGGATGACTTGAGGATTTGACCAGCAATTTTTGGGGCTACAGATCTGAGCAAAGCTATGATTAGTGGTGTATATAAAATACATACATATAATTATATATATATACACACATTAATTATACACATATAAAGTGAGCTGATTGTTTATTTCTTGCCATATAGATAAAAACATGTTTAGAAGATATTCTTATGTCACCCCAGCCAGTTGCAAGTTGCCTCGAATCCATTGGATTCAGTGAATTTAGCTACCGTAGTAGCTGCCAGGTCTGACCTGGTTGATGAGCTTTGATGAGTTAGACCGAAACAAAACAGTAGTGCTCAAACATGACAGTATTTTTCAAGCACACCAAAATAGTGAACTCCCAGCAACTATCACTTTTTTGGCCTTAATCCATTTTCTTGGCAACACATATATTATTTATATATCTGGTACATCCTTAGGTTGGAAAAAAATGATCTATTTCTAGAAAACCAGGTTTTTGGGAAACGGATTGGAAAAAACCAATCTAGAGGGTTACCAGGTATATACAGTACGTCTTATCCTTCTTGGGGCGATGTTGGTCACATCTTTGCCTTTCTGGCTCATCTCAGGGTGACTATCCCGACTCAGTAGATCCCCTAGCTGGGTTCCGGCACTGGGGAACAAACATCAACAAACTGAGTGGTTTCCTACTGTTGATGGTTGCGAAATCCTGCACCACCAAAAGGATGGTTGAAACATGTTGAAACCCTATAAATAATGGGATGTTTACCACCGTTTTCAACTGGTGATTCGGATTTCGCTGGCCCATCCACAGTATATAGCGCTTTCTGAGATGAATATCCTGGCGCATGCCTCATGGCCGTCATGCCCCACACATCGGTGTGCATCACTAAAGATGTGTTCCAAACAGTGGGAAGTGACGGGCAAATCTTGATTGATATCTGCAAAAGGCGTTCACTACTAAGTGGCTATATAGTAGATTCCATCAGATTAGTTGTTACCTAATGCGAGCTAAGTTTATACCCACTTACATACGACAAAGAGGCGTGGCATTGTCCACCGTCACTGGTGACTGCACATCACCCAGTACATTGCTGGCATCATAGATCTCCTTTCCAGAGTGGTTGATTGGCAGAGAGGTAAGCCTCAATTGAACAACCAAGAAATAGGCAGTGTCTGGTTGGTGGTTTGGAACATGGCCTCTGGTCATGGGATCTGGGGCAATGATTGTTATATTGTATATTATATATATATTATCTGGTTGGTGGTGACTGGAACATGAATGGCTTGTATTTTATTTTTTCCATCTATTGGGAATGGAATAATCATCCCAACTGACTTTCACTCCATCATTTTTCAGAGGGGTTGGTTGAAACCACCAACCAGGTGTAGTTTGGTCATGATGTTTACCGCTAATCAAGGATAGCAATGGAAAGTCCCCCATTTCGGTCCAGGATTTTTCGAGAAAACTCCGTAGCCGCGTAGCCCCAGGAAAGACAACAGCTTACGTGCCCATGGAAGATGAAGGCGGGGGGTTGCGGGTGAGCGTTTTTGTCTTTTTTGGGGTGCCCTGCCTAGAACAACCTGCAATGAGAGGATTGGCCGATTGGCCAGTGTGTCCACGACTTGCTGTGCATCTAAAACATTTGATATTTCTGCAAAGAAGTATGGAGTATTCCATTGCTGCCGTGATTGCAATGATTGGCCCTACCGGTTGTTCAAATGGATGTGAAACCATATACCCTCTGGAAATTTAACAGTTTGCTATTGAAAATTGCCATTTATAGTGAGTTTTCCCATTAAAAATGGTGATTTTCCATAGTTATGTTAGTTTACATACAGGGTAACTTGGTTTTCTACAACCACCTGGCGGAATTTTAACAATTCGAACGACCTCAATGCAACATCACGATAGATGATGAGATGATGTTTTCATGCTTGGGTTCAGAGGAACCATCTCCCCCAAAAAAAACACATTTCAGCTTGGTGACTTTGTAGTGATTCACCCAGACTTATTTGACGGATGATGAATGATATTCCCCAATATACCTTTGGCTAGCTTGATAGACTCCCAGTTATCATCCACCAAGGGTTTCCTTGATGTTGAATGATGATATACCCTCTGGTAAACTAACATAACTATGGAAAATCACCATTTACAATGGGTAAATCCACTATAAATGGCCATTTTCAATAGCAAACTGTTAAGTTTCCAGAGGGTAGTACCCCCCAAGAAGATGCTGAAAAATGGTTCCACACCAAGAGTTCGCTGATGTTTCCTCAGGTTTCCCTACAGTGGTGCCAAGCACAGCGCCCGGTGGAGACTGGGATCAGGCGCTTTCGTTGGAAGACATGGGCAGAAAGAGAACCGGGAGATGTTTTTTTGGGCCATGGAAAGTATCAATATTAATGGAATAATGGGATATAATGGACTATGGAAATAGAAATGGAATATTCATGGGAATAATTAGTAATGGAATATGAGTCCCTATCCCATCTCTTGATACTGATTAAAAACAGTTTCCCTACTGTGGATTATCATAATCCCCAGCGACTCAGGTAGTATAACTCCCTTTAATCACCAATGAACCAGAGTATTTTTAAGGGTTCAGTTATCTGAAAAATAGGTAGTGGGTAAGGCGGAAATGGTGATGAACCAGCAAATTTGAGGGTATATACCATATTTTTAGACTTGGCCAAGTTGGTTTAGAGTAACTATGAATGATGAACTAGGGCTTGAGGTAGATATCCCTATAGTTGGGTTGGCTTGTAAAGAACCTGAAGCAGGAGGGCATCACCTTGTAATTGAGCCGTTGGAAAAACCTAAGTTTGATAGATATAAAGGGGATATAAGTTTGATAGATACAAAGGGAATATAAACATATATATATATATATCATCCATGTTGGTTTCAAAAAGATCAAAACTGGTAACAGTTGGTAAGTGTTGTTAGCTGAAGATGTTTGCCGGGGTCACTCTTCCTTTAACATCGTGGGGCATACAATAATCCATTATGGGATTTTTCGTGCACCAACCATTACACGGGATTGTCAAATTGTTTTTCTGAGCTTTTGACTGGCAGCGCAGATTCTATTCATGTTGGGAAACTACTATCCTAGTTTTAGGTTTTAACATACGTCTGACCGTCTGATCCATCGCCCTTTCAGCCAAAAGGTGTTGCCTTTAGATCGCCAACCGCCAACTTCGCATCAGTGTCGGCATAGTCCATCCCAATCCTTGAGAGATGGTTAGGATGCCACTTCGCATCCTTGGTATGTCCGATTGATATTTGTTTACATACTGTGGATGGACGAAATCCTGCATCACCTTGTATGGTTGAAAACCCTATAATTAATGGGATGTTTACCACTTCTCAACTGGTGCAGGAATTTCGCAACCATCCACAATAGGTCTATAGTCCCTGGCCAATTGTTGTTTACATAGGTGTCCAGGGACGTCCCATTGATAGTTGTTTAATGTTGTTTACATATCATGTGCCTCAGATATTGGTGAAACAATGTGAAACATGTTCCTCATCTTGCTCGAATTTTGGCGTGTGTTTCCATGCTGAAAACCAGGATGGCTTTCAAGCAAACCACACTCACAATCTTTCAATTTCGGGTCCCCAGGTGATTTTATCGCAAATTACCCTTCAGAAAACTGACATAGCTATTGAAAATTGCCATTTATAGTGGATTTACCCATTGAAAATGGTGATTTTCCATAGTTTTTTTGTAAACGTTTACCAGAGGGTACCCTTCAGAAAACTGACATAGATATAGAACATCCACCATCTGTAGATCATTTCCTATAGGAACCCTTCAGGGGTTCCATGGTAAAAATCGTCGCCAGTGGGCTGCCTTACTTCGTTGGTGGCCTTTGGGCGGGGTTCCTCCGCTGCTGCCTGCCACGTGTCTTGGCCTTTTTTGCACTGGATTGGTGGTGGGAAAATCTACGGAAACCATAGTTGTCTGGTTGGCGGTTTGGAACATGGCTTTTATTTTTCCATATATTGGGAATAGTAACGCCAACTGACTAACATTTTTCAGAGGGGTTGAAACCACCAACCAGCCATAACATGGTTTAACAGCCAAATATAGGTGTGTTGTGGTTGCTGATGGCTCCTGTAATTGTGTTCCTCAAAATATGTCCAAGATTGTTGGTGGTGGTATGGAATAATTACATTCACCTTACAAAATGGGAAGGAACAGATGTCATCTCTTTGTGATTGAGACCAAGCAAGGCAAGGGAATTTCCACAGGGCTTTGTGCAACTGCAGTAGGAGTGTTGTTTCACAGCGTGAAGTACTTGCACCTAGAAGTTAATGTTCGTAAAGCAATAGAAAACCATCCGCAATTTTACCATGAATTGGTGCTATAAACCATCAACGTGTAGGTGGTTTATTCTCGCTTTACTAACATCGCACCGGATTTGTTTAAATGGGTTTGTCCAATGATGGTATGCCTGAAATCCCTTGGTTGATCACAATTTTCCCTGATCAAAAGTTCCAGAAATCAGGGGTGAATCGCCAGCCTTATGGGCAAAACCCAAGTAAATCATATTGCTTACAAAACCCATCATATGATATAACCATATATATATATATATATAGCCCATTTAAAAACCCACAAACCCCATAGAATCTCCCAGGACGTCTTCATTTGTGGATGAAAAATTGCAATTGCCAACTCACGAGTCGCCCCCAAGTCGTCGTTCTTGGGCGAAGGTTGGGCGGAGCCTGTTTGTGCCACTGGCGCAAAAATCCTCGTGATGGAGATGCCTCCATCAAGGCGATTTTTGGGATGTACAAAGTCGTGGGTTCAATGGGAGATCTCCAGGATCCGATAAACATTGGAGGTACCTACTGTACCATATATGTTTGGCCTATTTTTTAGGCCTTAGTTTCAGGGAATATCCCCAGAAAATATGGCCTTATATGGTACAGTACCTCCATTTTAGGATCCTGGAATTCCCATTGATGGATGTAGTAACCCCAAACAAAGATGCGGAACAGTGATATGTTTTACTATTTTAGTGGGATTTTAAATTGACTTCCATATCTTTTTTAGGGAGTACTGTACACATAGACTATCCGGTGGTTAGGAGGAGCCAGGGACTTCCAGCTTTTTTGTTTATCAAATGGGGAGCCAAGGAGCTACCAAGAGTTTCCCAACCACTTGATGGTAAAGCAATGGGAGAATTGTCAACTCATGTTTTTCATGGGTGAATTTCTAGCTGTCTTGATGTAGGAATATGATTCCATGTGATGCAGAGTATCAAGGATCAGCTATGGTTGAATGCAATTCCGTTTTGTTGAACCCTCGCGGTATTGCTTGCATAGGCTGTCTTTTCATGTCTTTTCCATTGATTTGAAGAAGTGGAGGATCAAAGTACGTCGCATCAGATAGTGCTCAGTGGAATGCGCAAGAAGATGCACCTGCTTTGGTATCTCGAATTCCCACGAGTTTTCACATGTTTTGAGTATGATTTGACAGTATGATTTGGCTGCCAACTTATATGGTCGCGCCTCTTGAGACTAGTGCTGTCGTTGAAAAAACCTATTCTTATCCACCAGTTTAGATAATCAAGAAACTAGAATTCATTTATTCCTCTATTTTCCTCATTTTCTGCTCAAGAATCCCCACAGAAAATATATGTGAAACCATGATTTTCCAATCATTCAACCAATCGCTGTCAAACAGCCAGGCGCACTGGCTGCGTCCTGGAGAAGAGTTGCAGTTCGTAGCATGGCAAAATGGGATGGCAAGGAAGCTGTGGTAATCTATGTAAGTTCCTCTGAATTCGTGGCATTTTTGGCATTTATTATTTGTAAAGCCTGAATTCAAGGACTTCACTGAATCTCGTGTTTTTTTCCATAGTGGGCAGTTTCAAAAAGCGAGAAAAAGGGATCAAAAATGGAGCTTTGATCAAAACAAAAGAGTGTTTCATGGGGATATTTGATGGGGATACTTGTTCGGATGTAACTCCCGCCTGATGGAGTGGTGGCGAAACTTGGAGGTTGGAAGATCCTTCAGCCTTACCGCCGGCTCTTTTCCTCAGCTTGCCGATTTTGGAAGGGTGCTCTTTCTCGCAGACCTTTGAGTCTCTTTGGCACCTCCTGGAAAAGCGAAGAGCGGAAGGATTCCCTCCTCCTGAAGAGGTCTTTAATGAAGTAATGTCTGCAGGGAAGGGTCAGGGCACCAGAAGGCGTATGCAACCAACCGCTCATGGTCTGAAGATAGCTGATCGGCCTACAACGGAGATCATGTCTCTTGAACGTCCTAATGCCAGCGGAGGGGAGGGCGTTTACATGTTCCTCCGTTTGTTGACTGCCTGACGCAGGTTCTCCAGAAGTTCCGCTATCCGCCTCAGGATATTTGTTACTTTCAGGCTGCGACCAAGGTTTTTAAGCCGGAAATGAGGACAAAACATGACAAAACATCGTGTTCGTTGCAAGTGCAATCCGCACGCCGCGAACATTAGTGGAAATAGGCTGCGAATACTTCTAAGACAATCACTATACTATCAATCTGCAAGTTTTTTGGACTTTTGAAGATGGAAGTATGTAAAAACAATTTCGAACGACTTTTAACTATTTTACATCCATTACATTATGCATGAGGCTCATGAGGGTGCTTAGGTTGGGATCATGAAACCTCAAACACACCACCATCGCATTTTGCATGTCAGGGGGTTCAGCAAATCTTGATGTAGACCCGCACAAATAAGTGGATGGTTTACAGCTAAAAAATCATTCAAGTATGTCATTCTGTCCCGAGCTTGAAATGTTGACCCATACCGTGAAAAGCCATACTCAAAGCGGTGGTTTTTAGCGCCCACGGTGGTTGTTTTATATGATGAGCTAATAACCCACATGTTAGTTTGGTTTCTGTTTGCAAGCATCGTGATCCCGGGGTACCCACTGATGTCATCAGAAGCGCAAAAAACTGAGGTCGGACCCGCTGATGCGAAGGCACTCGCTTTCTCTGGAAAAACCGATACAATTTGGTCGTGGCAATTGGGAAAGATGATGATTCACTATGTGATGATGGGGCACTCGATTTTGGGAGATAAACCTAGGTGTGTTTATCATTGACTATTTCAGTTGGATTGTATATCCACATTGGGAGATGGGAAGAATCCATCCATTTTTGTATGAAAGAATGGTGAATGGGTTTGTTTGGATTCCCATTATGAGACTGGTTGGTGGTTTGGAGCATTTTTTATTTTCCCCAATAGTTGGGATGATGATCCAATCTGACTTTCATATTTTTCAGACGGGTGGCTCAACCACCAACCAGGAGATATAGTACCACAAGCAAGAAATACCATGGTTTGACAGCACCTATAGGCAGTTGGGGTACTCGATCATTTCCAATGCTATTCTTGGAGTCTTTCTTTGCAGGAAGGACATATAACAACAATGTGCTGTAAGACGCATCAATCGTGCGTGTCTATCTTTGGGTGTAGATGCCATTCCAAACTCATGCCGGGTCTGTGTGATGAGACGAACCTTTACATGAAGGCTTCCGACATCCGTGAGACGTATGTGTCTAAGGCACAAGCTGAAGCAGCACGCCGATCGCAATACCGTGTACATCGCCAACAGGTTTGAAGCAGTCATGTCTATGCCATACGCGGATGCACACCCCGTGGCAAGCCATTCGCGATGACTTGGGGATGGCCTGGGCTGCAACACGCCGAATTCGGCAGATCACGGCGTTGAGGCTTACCCATTCTTGTTGGATCATATCATCATAGTCCCACTGTTGTGCTGTCTCGCTTATGCTCTGTTTTTGTTTTTCTTGTTCCATATTTATATAGCCTTTTAGGGATAAGATTGAATATACAAATAATTATAAATAAATATATATAATCGAAGGAAGTTTAGAAGTCAAACTTCCGACAATATGGGGAGATGAAAAAGCAGTCAGCAGGGAGAAGAGTCAGAAGAGAAAAGATCAGAAGAAAGAAGATGCAGGTGCGCGAAAAGGTAGGAAAGTCGCGAAACACTGTGTTTTTTCGTGGTCTTGTGGCTCCGGAGGGTTGAAAAGTAGGCTCGCTAAGCGGCGGGGGCGGAGACATCTGGGGAGATGAGAGATGAAAAGTTGCACGCCGTTGTGGCGCGAAGCCGATTTCGAAGTGAAAAGGTACAAAACACCGCAGCGTCGGACCACTTTTGGAAGTTCAGATGTTGAAAAAGTGCACGGCGTTGTGGCGCGAAGCACATTTGGAAGTAAAATGTGTTAAAAACTAAGGGGTTCGGACCACTTTTGGAAGTTGAGATGTTGAAAAAATTTGCACGGCGTTGTGGCCCGAAGCACATTTCGAAGTCAAAATGTACAAAACACACCATGGTCGGACCACTTTTGGAAGTTGAGATGTCGAAAAAGTGCACGCCGTTGTGGCGCGAAGCACATTTCGAAGTCAAAATGTACAAAACACACTATTCTCGGACCACTTTTGGAAGTTGAGATGTTGAAAAAGTGCACGCCGTTGTGGCGCGAAGCACATTTCGAAGTGAACATGTACAAAACACACCATGTACGGACCATTTTTGGAGGTTCAGATGTCGAAAAAGTGCACGGCGTTGTGGCGCGAAGCACATTTCGAAGTCAAAATGTTAAAAACACTAGGGGTTCGGACCACTTTTGGAGGTTCAGATGTCGCTTCGCTTCGCTTCACTAGACTACACTACATTACACTACACTACATACACTCCACTACACTACACTACATTACACTACACTACACTCCACAACACTACAACTACAACTACACAACTACACTCCACTACACTAAATTACACTACACTACACTAAATTACACTACACTACACTCCACAACACTACAACTACAACTACACAACAACACAACTACACTCCACTACACTCCACTACACTAAACTACACTACATTACACTACACTACACTACATTACACTACACTACAATACACTACCTTCCACTACATTTCACTACATTACACTACACTACACTCCACTACACTACAACTACACAACTACACTCCACTACGCTCCACTACACTCCACCACACTAAATTACACTACACTCCACTACACTACATTACACTACACTACACTACCTTCCACTACACTTCACTACACTACACTCCACTACACTACAACTACAATTACAACTACAACTACACTCCACTACACTCCACTACACTCCACTACCCTAAATTACACTACACTACATTACACTACACTCCACTACACTACACTCCACTACACTACATTACATTCCACTACACTACATTACACTACACTGCGCCCCACTACACTACATTACACTACACTACCTTCCACTACACTTCACTACTTTACACTACACTCCACTACACTACAACTACACAACTACACTCCAGTACAGTCCACTACACTCCACTACACTCCACTACACTAAATTACACTACACTACATTACACTACACTACATCCCACTTCACTACACTACATTACGCTACACTACACTACCTTCCACTACACTTCACTTCATTACACTACACTACACTCCACTACACTACAACTACAACTACAACTTTACAACTACACTCCACTACACTAAATTACACTACACTAATATACGCTACACTACATTACATTACACTACACTCCACTACACTACACTACACTCCACTACACGACCTTCCGCTACACTTCACTACGTTACACTACACTCCACTACACTACAACTGCAACTACAACTACACAACTACACTTCACTACACTCCACTACACTCCACTACACTAAATTACACTACACTACATTGCACTACACTCCACGACACCCCACTACACTAAATTACACTACACTACACTACATTGCACTCCACTACACTCCACTACACTACATTACACTACACTACACTACCTTCCACTACACTTCACTACATTACACTACACTCCACTACAACTACAATTACAACTACAACTACACTCCACTACACTCCACTACACTCCACTACCCTAAATTACACTACACTACATTACACTACACTCCACTACACTACACTCCACTACACTACATTACATTCCACTACACTACATTACACTACACTGCGCCCCACTACACTACACTACATTACACTACACTACCTTCCACTACACTTCACTACTTTACACGACACTCCACTTCACTACAACTACAACTACAACTCCAACTACACAACTGTATCCACTACACTCCACTACACTAAATTACACTACACTACACTACATTCCACTACACTCCACTACACCACACTACATTACACTACACTACATTACACTGAATGACACTGCACCACAGATAGACAAGGTAGATAGTCAGAGAAAGAGACAGAAAGAGAGAGAAAGTCAGGAGACCTCAAGCACCTTTCGGTCCATCAGTGGCTTTGCTCTGCGATCCCTGATTCACAACAACCAATCTCTCCTATAGGTTTCCTATTTTTGAAACTTCCGCCACTGCCTTGCGCGGTACTACTGGTATAAAAACACCATAAATGCCATGAAATGACACCTTTAGAGATTGAAAAAGCATCTAAAACCACCATTTGTCCCACCAGAAATGGCAGATTTCATGACACCTTTAGAGACGAGATCCCCACGTGCTTCTCCTTGCAGGCAGGGCACCTCTGTCGTTGGTTGCAGCAGGATATGGCCTTAGGACCGGATCTGGAGGCTGGGGGATCTTCGTATAGGATATGTGTGGCCTGGTATATGTGGATACCCTCTGGTAAACCATCGGAAAATGGGAAAACCATAGGAAAACCATAGGAAAATGGAGATTTACCCTCTGGTAATTTAACATAACTATGGAAAATCACCATGTCTAATGGGTATTTTCAATAGCTAACTGTTAGTCATTACCAGAGTGTATGTGGTTTGTTTAGGATCTAGATAACTTAGGCATGGTTGCGAAGAAACTTGAAGTTATTCTCCTTAAATCATCTTATCCCAATGTTTCCTGGTGTTTTCCTGGTTTCTCTGTTATCCCAATGGGTCAGCCATGACTTTTCTATCTACTTGAGGGGTGCCACAGTTCACCGGGGGTGCTGTGGCAACCTGGTTTTGCTGCATGACAATGCTTTTTGGGAACTGGAGGAACCATTGGAGGAACCATTGATTTACAAAAACTGAGGCAGGTGGTTCGGCCAAGAACAAGATGAAGGATTAACATATGGTTTAACCAACTGAGACAGATTGCTTTCCTAACATCTTTAACCGGGGGTTGGACATGCAAATAGATCACCAACGTGATGTGTGTTACAGTATCAAAAACTGTTTGGTGGTTTGGAACATGTTTTATTGCTCCATATATTGGGAAGAATCATCCCAACTGACTAATATTTTTCAGATGGGTTGAAACCACCAACCAGATCACCAGCGTGATGTGTATTACAGTATCAAAACTGGTTGGTGGTTTGAAACATATTTTCCATAATATATGGGATGTCATCCTTCCTCTTGCCACTGATTTTGTTCAAGATGGTTAAAACATTTAAAAACCACCAACCAGTTCTAACATGTGATAGTGAATTTTCCCGTTAAAAATGGTGATTTTCCATAGTTTTTGGTAAACGTTTACCAGAGGGTATTGAATCCACGTATTTACAGTTCTCAACTGACTTTCATATTTTTCTGAGGGGTAGGTATACCACCAACCAGATCACCAACGTGATGTGTATTACAGTCTCAAAACTGGTTGGTGGTTTGAAACATATGTAGCTGTTTAGCAGAGGGTAAATCTCCATTTTCCCATGGTTTTCCTATGGTTTTCCCATTTTCCTTTGCTTTACCAGAGGGTCATTGGCATTTCTTTCTGGCGTTCACCACCTTCAAAACGTGGATTTTTTCTCTGTTGCCGCGAGGTGGTGCTGGTGCAGGAGACGTAAAGCGTCAAGCGCGGAAGATGGGGATGCGGGGTGGTTCAATGTGAAAATGCCCAGCGGTGGGAAAACATATGAAAAACATATGAAAAACTAACAATGATGGCAAGGATTTTTTTCAGAGCTTTAGGTGGTTTTACAAATATGTTATAAAGTTAATTAAAGTTATATCAATCAGAAGACTTGGGGATATATACGTCGCAAACATTTTCAGACAAAGCCAGAGTAGCGCTATACCAGACTAGCCCTTTTTATATATACCCCATCCCAGGCGAATCCAGAAGCATTTCTGGGCAATTTTCACCAGGTGCCTCTGCAGAAACTGACCGATGTTTGCAGGTCTTGAAATGTCCCGTTCCGTTTTTTTGTGAATGGAAATTGGGAAATAAAGATTGGATACAGATTGGATACCCATCTAGGGATATCTACTTCAAGAAACCCATTTGCTTTCCACAGAAAGTAATAGATTTGTGCAGGATTGTCTGAAAATAGACTACCTCCTATTCCATCGGAATGTTTGATGTTCCCGGTCAAGATGGCCATCTATGGGTATGCCCTATTTTCAGACAAAGCCATGTATGATGTTTACTTGGCTGGTTGGTGGTTTGGAACATGAATTTCATGTTTCCATTCAGTTGGGAATATTAACCCCAGCTGACGAACTCATATTTTTCAGAGGGGTGGCTCAACCACCAACCAGATGATGTAAAAACTTGGTCTCGTCTTATTCCAAGGTTTCCAAGCTTCAACCTACCTGGGGGTTTCCACAAAATGAACTCACGATGAACTCACCCCATTTCGAAGGACCAGTTGGCCCTTGATGGCTGTTCTCGCCTGCTGGATCACACTGACATGAAAAGTGTCACTTGCTTTGAGTAGTTGAAGGGTGGGGAATCTCCTGTTATGGAAGTTGATTTTTTACATCGTGCCCGGTCGTGCCCTTCAGTTATTAGTAGCTCTAAGGCAGAAAGTATATAATATTTTTGTGGCATCACGAATCTGTGGTTCATTGACTGTCCGTTTGCACATGAGTTTTCTTGAGGGTATGCTGGCTGCATGGCTTTGTCCAGCATTTGTAAAACGGTCACAACCAGAAACTGGAAGCTGCTCCGAGACTTGTACTTGACATCTGAGAAGATGACTGAATGATGGATGGTGCGGTTACAGCTTTGTCTCTTGCCTAAACCTTCAAGCGGAAAACCCCCAACCATGGTTTTGAACGTGTATCAACCAGTGGTTAGGTCTAAAAAAAAATCGTTGTTCTTCGACAATCACCTTGATCTCACCATTGTTTCTTTACACAGCATATTTGTCAACCCATTTTTAAGTACTATATTCAGTTACATGCCTTTTTGTTGTCCTGGTAGTTGGTGAGAACCCTTTGAAAACCGAATGTGTAACCCACATGTATATAACATTATATAACCTATTTCATATAACCTGTTTGGTTTGATAAAATAATATCATCCATCATACATAAGTGGCATGCCTGGCATAGAATCAATTTCATTTATAGTCAAGTTTCCTCATGGTTCCCAAGCAGTTGGAACCAGTATGTTAGGTAAAACCCTTAAGCTTACAAGTATGTGGCAGATCGTTCCAATTGAGGACGAGCTTTTTTCAGATGGGATGAGGAAAAGAAACCAAAGAAATCATCCACGATTTCATGGTGCAGGGGACATCGACAGCAAACAACCACAATATCTACGAATGTGTATCTATGTATATATATATATGATATATACATATATAAATATTGCAAAAAGCAAGGCTCCCTGTAAAAGTTCCCTTGAATCAATCCATTCAATCTCATGTTTGTTTGATGAATCACAAATTTTGATGCTAAAATCTCAACTGGCAATGGACATATTACCGTAGACTTGCCAAGGTTCTGTTTACCCTAGATGGCCTTCAGACCAACCTTGTTACCCTCTGGTAAACAAACATAAATATGGAAAATCACCATGCTATTAATGGGTAAATCCACTATAGATTGCCATTTTCAATAGCAAACTGTTAACTTACCAGAGGGTATATTCCATTAAGTGGATTATAATCCTATTAAACCCCATGGAAAATCCCATTAAATTCCAATTAAACCTTATGAAACCCCGGGTAAACCCATGACTGATGATTACCACAAGGTGGTGCCCCCTAGATAGCTAAGTTGGTTTATAACTCCAATAACTATGGTTTATAGGTGATATATCTATAGTTAATGGGATTATAAACCAACTTATAACTGGGGGGCACCACCTTGTACCCCCTTTGTTCGCGAGATCGAGCTGGAGCTGTTCCAAGGTCACAGGTCCCTTCTGCGCCCTGACCTTTGCGCGCCCGCGGCTGCTGGCGGCCGAGGAAGCGCCGTTGCTGCAGCTGGCGCGGGAGGAAGCGTGGTGCCTGAGGCGGTCAAAGATGGGGAGAGTACTCCTCCAATAAGTTGGTGATGTATCCCATATTTATCATATATACAGAAATACCAGGTATAAGTACTTATAATTATGGAATTATATACAGAAATACCATGAGAAATACCAGGTATAAGTACTTATAACTTATAACCCCATTTATGGAATGTATAATCCCATTTATAAGAACCAGTTATAATATAAATACTTATAATGTCAACCCTGGATTAAACCCCAAACGGCCAAACGGCTGTTGAATTGGGAGGGTACCAGGAAAAAGTATCAGATTATGACTATTTGGGGAGTACCCCCTGACTAATGAACCATGGTTTATTAATCCGGGGTTGGCATTAATCATAATCTAATACTTCAATGGTACCCTCCCAATTGTACCCTCCCAATTCAACAGCCGTTTGCGGTTTAATCCAGGGTTGACACGAACTATCATTTTTTGGGGGGGTTCAGCATTAAACATATGGGAATATAATTGACAAATGATGGTTGATCGATGATTCTATGGGGTTGTATCCAACATATCGGGGACTACCACAATCCATGAACTGGAAAATCCATTCTCAACGGAACAGTTTTTGAAGGGACGACATTTCGGGTTTTGAACACTGCTGAACTATGGTATGTGCATGCTTAGTTTTTTTTGGCGAGATAGGGATGCAGCCCATCTGTTGGTGGGCTCCTTGAACATGAAAACCATTCCTTTTCACTTAGATATATACGGATATGAAGTACGAAAAATTTGCCAGGGTGTTTGAAAATGAGGGAGAGTGGAATCGAACAGAATATGGGTTTGCCTGAAAACAGGGTACCCCAAAATCCTGGGATAGTAATCATTTTTCCGATTCAAATTCTTGTTTGGGGTGTATATCCAATTTTCAGACGGACCCATATGCAGAAAAATGAGCCTGGGCGCAGGAAGAGAGCAAGAATTCAAAAACTTGCATTTTTTTAAGCGTAAGCGTTGGAAATCCGTTTTAACTAGTTCTTCATTGTTTGGGGTTCCCTTGTTCAGTAACAAAATCATGCAGCTGAGACGATGTTTTTGTTGTACGTCTCAGGTTTGGACACGAGTCATTGATGCAGAAAGAATGGATTGCACACCTGGTCAAAGGTGTTTCCTTTTTGCCTAGTTAGAGACCATTATCCACCGTATACTTCGGATACTTGTGTACAAAAAATCCACATGTCTACGTAGATTTTGATCTGCATCTTTAGATTGTTTTAGAACTGAACATGAGTCTGTATACATGGCCAGAGAGATAGACAAATACTGGTAGGATCAAATAGGCACAATAAATCTGTAAGTAATTAGAGAAATATTGTTGGGTACCCTTTGGTTATTTGACATAGCCATCTATGAATGATTTACCTATATTTACCTATTAAGAATGGTGATTTTCCATGGCTACGTTAAATAACCAAAGGGTATATCTCCATATTTCAATGAGAATTTCAGGATCCCAAAAAGGAGGCACTGTACCATATAAGACCATATTTGGTTGGTGGTTTCAAACATTTTTTATTTTCCATAATATATGGGATGTCATCCTTCCCATTGACGAACTCATATTTTTCAAGATGGATATTGCACCACCAACTAGATATTTTGTTGGGATATTCCTTTTCCATATATTGGGAATTTCATTTTCCCAACTGACGAACTTATATTTTCAGAGGGATGGCTCAACCACCAACCAGCCTTACATAGGCCTGATCCAATACATGGAGGCACGTTAGTATCATATTTTTCACCATTATGTATTATTTTGTTGGGATATTCCCTGAACCTAAGGCCTAAAAAAATAGGCCTTATATGTATATATATATACATATACATATGGTAGGTACCTCCAATGTTTACTAACAAAATTAAGATTCTTTCCCATCTTCGTTTCAGACGCCAGGGACGGCTCCAATCACGGCGCCGTGGTGAGAGCCGTGAATCGATGGATCACATCTGTCTACGACTGCCAGGCGTCGGCGGGATGGAGCTAGCGAGCTAGCCACATGGGGAGCAATGGGGAATCGAGCAACATGTGGGTTGCCAAAAATTGGGGGAACTCACCTAAATGATCTAAATGATTCTAAATGCTTGGTGGTGACTGGAACATGAATGGATTATGACTTTCCATTCAGTTGGGAATGTCATCATCCCAACTGACTCATATTTTTCAGAGGGGCGGCATTGAAGTTCGTACTTGCTTCACACCCTTGGGACGAAGTGCCCTCATTCTGTGACTTTGTCATAGCTACGGATTTCTACGCTCATTTAGCAAGTACCATCAATATATTATGTATATAAATATAATATTATATGTATGTTGATTCCACATGTTTGATTGGTGAACATCACATTTTGGCCGTATAAATTCCGATTCTTGGTGAATCCTCAATTCTTTCTGAAGTTCCAAGATGTTCCCAAGCATTTAGATCTGGTTGGTGGTTGATCCCATTGCATGTTTATATCATTGAGTACTGTACAGGATGGGGCCCCCCAGTTATAAGTTGGTTTATAAACCATTGTAGTCCCCATTAACTATAGTTATATCTACCATAAACCATTGTTAAGCCACTTATAAACCAACTGAACGCTATCGACTGGGGGCCCCATCCTGTAGGAGTTTGTATGGTTTGGAAACTGGACAAACAAGAAGAGAATCAGTCAGTTCCAGTCAGTCCTTTGGACGATTTGCTGGTTCATGTGTGGTCAGGCGTTAGAATGTTGATGCAAGATGACTCAGACTGACTTATCTGGTTGGTGCTTTGGAACATTTTTTTGGACCATATATTGGGAATTTCATCATCCCAACTGACGAACTCCATCATTTTTTCGAGGGGTAGGGTGGCTCAACCACCAACCAGTTATAGATTTTTCGAAAGCTTGTGCACCAACCGAGCAGCACATCTGGAAGAAAAAACGATTCCGACAACCTTCGACTGTGGCTGTTTTCTGGAACACTACAGCACGTACAGCCGACAAATTTGAGACCTACAATTGGTCAAAAGGCTGTACAAGTTAAAAGATGTATGTAAACTATAAACTAAATTAAACTGGTATACAGGGGCTTTTTGGATGCAAGCTACCATGTCATGTTCTAGTGTATTTGTCTGGGTTTTGTTTCAAGAGACTGAAATGAACACTTCTTCAACTTGTTCAACTGAAAGATTCCTAGAACTTGTTCAGTTGAAAGACTACGCTGAAGTGAAATCCTTCCCCCTCATATATTGAACATGGTATTTTACCCATTAAAGCCATGCTTTAGTAGGTTGAATCCACATAGGAACAATCAGACCATGGGGGTGTTAAACTGTTATCTATGAACGCTTTTGGATACCGACCGATGATGTCCATCCTGCTGTCCATTTTCTGTTGGTTTGGAAAAATCATCCACAAAAAAGATCACCCAATTGTTGATGGTTTTTTTAATCATAAATCCCATTTTATATAAATCCCAATGAAATCCCATTAAAATATATTAAAGACCCATGAAAACCCATTTAAATCCCATTAAAGTCCCATTTAAAGTCCCATAAAAAGCCAGCTGGATAACCATCAAAGCATCGATCTCCAGGCGTCTCAGCGTTTGTTGGCCTTCTTTGAGGCGCTGGGGCGCTGCGACCGATTCATGTTGATTCATGTTGATTCATGTTGATTTACCCTCTGGTAAACTAACATAACTATGGAAAATCACCATGCTATTAATGGAAAATCCACTATAGATTGCCATTTTCAATAGCAAACTGTTAACTTACCATGTTGATTTAGTTGTTTTTGTTTCGTGATCCCATTTCCCCTGGTCGAAAGTGTGAATCCTTTCTCTCCGGGAGATTTTTGATGAAATCTCTCCGGTTTCGCGGGGTAAAACGAACCACTTGGCTTTAAAGAGGAGCTGGTTGGTGGTTTTTATATTTTCCCCTATATATTTGGGATGATTTTCTCCAATCTGACGAACTCACTCCATCATTTTTCAGAGGGGTAGGTCAACCACCAAGCAGAGGAGTAGCTGCAAACTCAGAGGCCTCATGAACCAACCAGATCGCGTGAGCCAATGGATTCTTCGGTCTTCACCTACCGGTCGTTGTTCATCATCATCATCATCATCATCATGCGGCCTCATTTTTCCCGGTTGTTTAGTCACAATTGAGAAAAAGAACATGTTCTATCTCATGATAACATGATAAAAGCATGTTTCTTGGGGGTAAAGTCATGTGTGTTGTTGTGCTGTTCGCCGATCCTTGGTGGAACCAGCTTAAGTCACAATGTTTTTTTGTGATTTACATTGACGTAATCCTAACTTTGGTGGAATCCTAACTTGGGACCAATCACCCAAACCTTTTGCCAGTAAAATGGTGTAAAATCACCACATGTGTAGATTTGACCTGGGAGCGCAGTTCCACTCACAAGTGGATATCAAATATTTATCAAAGCATATCTGGTTGGTGGTTTGGAACATGTTTTATTTTCCATTTCATATATGGGATGTCATCCTTCCCATCGACGATGGCCCATCGACTAATATTTTTCAAGATGGTTAAAACCACCAACCAGATATTATAGGTACCTCAGTATATGTGGGATATCCCCGGGGGTTATCCGTCGATGGAGCGCTTTCCATCCGCACAGGAACTGAGCCAAGCGGTGCCAGCGGTTACCGTGGTGGCCGTGGTACCTGGACATGTGCCGCTGAAGGAGGCACCGAAAAAAGGATGGCTGAGTGGAGCTGCAGGATGGGGCCCCCAGTCGATAGCGTTCAGTTGGTTTATAAGTGGCTTAACAATGGTTTATGGTAGATATAACTATAGTTAATGGGGATTATTTCATTGTTTATAAACCAACAAACATCACTGGGGGGCCCATCCTGTGGAAACGGCTGGACCTTTCATGCACTCAACTACACAGGGACTCAAATTGTAGGACTTTCAGTGACCCCATCTTTAGGGTCTATAATGATAGATCCAGGGTCCAGGGTCCCTAGGTTTTAGTTGAGGGTATGATCTTTTTTGGGTTTTTATCATGGTTCCGTATATTAAATATCATGTGTTGATGGCGATATTATGGGGATATAACTCATCAACTTGTTTTTTTCGCATGTTATCTTGGGTTGAATGTGGGAAACCTGCCATAAACCTACCACTTGGGGATGGTTTATACCATCCATTTAATGGTGATTTGGGGGGATGGTTTTTTCTTATCCAAATGGGATTGATATGGATTGAGGCCGAAACCAATGGGTAAACCAATGTCTGGCTGGTGGTTTGGAACATGTTTTATTTTTCCATTCAGTTGGGAATGTCATCATCCCAATTGACAAACTCCATCATTTTTCAGAGGGGTAGGTTGAAACCAACCACCAACCAGATGTAAACATAATCCGGTTGGTGGGTTCAAACATTTGTTATTTTCCATTTCATATATAGGATGTCAGTCGAAACCCATTGACTTTCACTCCATCATTTTTCAAGATGGTTATTGTACCACTAACCAGTAATGTAAACCAACTAACATTGAGAATGGAACCATGGAGTATTTCGTAGGATGAACAAGCACCAAACACAGGTTTGTACCATTAATCTGGATCCATGGAGTTGGTTCATGGAGTATGAAAATTGAAAAAAGCTTGAGGGAATATACCCGGCCTGGTAAACGTTAACAGTTTGCGAACTTGAAGCCATGGCCCAATCGAAATAGTTGATTTACCCAGCTATAAAAGGTGATTTTCCATAGTTATGTAAACGTTTACCAGAGGGTAATGCATGTGGAAAATCACCATTTTCAATGGGTACATCAACTAT